AATCAGAACTCTAAAGCATCTTTGATACTTCAAGGAACATCCCCAAATCCTTCATCACCAAAATAAAGAATATAAAATGGATTTTATTTTCTAAAATGTGCCAAATAATAATTTTTGAAAGGGGAATGAAAGCAGCAGGGGCACAGTGTTATAATGGCAAATAAGAATATGGTATCCATTTCAAAAAGTTTGGAAACTACTGCTCTCCTGGAGTAGTTACTACTGGATAAACAAACACGGCCCTAGATTTCATACCCAATCCGCTCTATAAAAAATTATGGGTATGAATTAGCATTCTGTGTCCGCTAATGAATTTAGGAGGGCTTCTAGAATGACAACAATACCCTAAAAGATAGGTACAGATCCAGAATCTTCAAGTGCAAAATGTAAATCACACACGGCTAGTATCACACAGTTTCAAAAACACAGTTTCTGTGGCAAAGAGATTTTTAATATCTTAACTTTTACCTGTGCACTAAACTTTATCAGCACCATATATTGATTTGGAGTAGAGTCTCTGATGATTTTCATTTGTTCAATTACTTCATTAAATGGGGCGACAAACTTCATAAGGTCATGACTGGTCATTGTAGCAGGGACTGTGAGAATACACAGCATGGCACTGCGCCTCACATCTTCTTTTAAGGAGGTCATCTTACTAATAAGACAATAATTAGACTGTCTTGAATAGATGAGGTATGGTTAGTTCAGACAACACTAATTAGACAACTTTTATGTCCAAAAAAATAGGAAAAAATAAACCTTATGTTACTCAACAGATCAACTTAAACAGTGTTACATATAATACCTGAAAACACACTACCTGGGTAAAAGCAGAATCCCTTCAACATATCTGCAATGGAGCTCATGGCAAGCTTTGAAATGGCCTATATTACACCCACCACTGAAATTTTTAGTCTTCAGTTAAAAGCGTGTTATAAATCTGCAGTTTGTGTTTTATTCTCATTAGCTTTTCAACAATAATCTCTCATTAGGTAACTTAGAAGCACAACTCTGTTTTTCTTTTCTTCTTCATTTTTAAATTTTAAAATCACTATTCTGGAAGTTAAAGAAAACTGTCCCCATGAAGAAAGAGAGGCGGCCAGAGTCTCAATCTACATGCTAATGGGCAACTCCAACTATGGACTTCTCTCAAGGGATCTAGAAGAGAGTTCTAAATATAAGAAAGAATTCAGGACTATGAAGATGTGACTCTGAAGATTACAGAAAGTGTTGCTGGGTAGGAAAAGCTGAGATAGAGGAAAAGAAAAAACTTCCCGCAATGCATTTGCTTCTGAAATGCTGCAAACTCACTTCAACAGCTGTGATCCAAAATGGTGACCTGAGTGCCCACTGTTTCCCAGTGGGGACCTAGCAAACACGTTAGGACAAGGAGAGGCTTTAAAGAGATCAGCTACCAATTATCTAAGGGGCTGAGAACCCAGCTTATTGATTATCTAGCCAAATGCTTCCTTTCCTTTGGCTTGTTGTAAGTTTTGTTTGGACCACAAAAAAGGTAAAAAGAGATGATGACATTGTAATCCATTAACTGACTTCACAGCTTCTTTAGTAAAGATTTGGTGGGGATAGGAGAGCACAATGATGTTATGAATCATTTATAATTTTTCTTTTCCTTTTTATCCTCCTGTCTTTCAACTTTCCAATCATCTTGCAAGCCTACCTTCTCGGGGAATATTTTCTTAGGTATTTTCTCAAGTGTATCTACATGTTTCTTTCATAAGAAGAAACTACGACCCAACCTGTAAGATTAACCATATATAAAACATCTGAGAATTCTCTAACACACAATATATGAAAGTACTATCCTTTTGAAGCTTAAATATCCACTTCCCTTCATGGCAAGAATGTTTTCAGTGCCCTAAGACAAAAAACAAACCAACTCAAAAGGAAAAGGTTTTTTCTTACTTTGTCTTGTATAGATGCATAATACCATGAACTATTTCAACTGATGGGTTTCCACTAAAGAACGAAATCTGGTCTGGAAGCTGTTTGGATGGAGAATCGGGAGCAGCGTTTATGCATTCTATACTTTGATCTTTACTTCTCTGTGCAGTGAGAGATGCTTCTGAAGACTTCCTTTCTTCCATTGTGGCTTTCAGCTCATCTTTCACAAATCAAAGATTAGTAGATTATAAACTGACAGGCAATAGGTGGAAGGATTCTAATTAGGTTAAAATTCTGAGTCAGAAAAATAAACTTTGACAGAGAAACTGTAATGAATTGTGGTAAGAAATATATTTACACAACAGTCAAGTTTTGGGACATATCTAAACTTGTAGCACTCTTTGTCCCATAAAAATGTCATTAATACCTGCAGAAACTTAAGGATGGCTCTTACATTTGGCAGTACCATAATAAAAGCAGGTGTCTTCCATCATGTGCTCCTAAGTGGGGCATGCAGGGCTATTAATTCTGAGAACCAAACCTACCAGTTCTGACCATCTTCATACTGGAGATGTAGCATACATCCAGGCTCTGGGTTGGAGTGAGCTGAAAGAGCATGCGTGCGTGCGTGCGTGCGTGTGTGTGTGTGTGTGTGTGGAGACACAATGTGCTTATCTAGATTCATTCATGATCTGCCACTAACCTAGTTGGCAAGTAGCTCTCTTCACTGAATAAAGTTGTCAACCCATGTTGTTATTATTAATTTAGGAGAAATATTTGGAGAAACTGAAATCTGGCTTGACAGCCTCAAATAAGGCACACAGGTAGTGAAAGATAAAAGTATGCTAGAGATCAAAACCATGGGCTCACTGAATAACATGTATAACACAGGTAACCAGGGGCTTATGCTGCATGAGTCTAGGGTTTTAGAAAGCATACCTGGATTGGACTTTATGGTCTCAATGATCATATCTGTCATTTCTCGACGACCAAGATGCTGATGTATGATTGCTGCTTTTTCCCCTGGTGACTTCCCTTCTAGAGAGGCTACAGCTGAAGCTAGTGTCTTCTTTTTGATCTCCTCATCAGACATTTCCCCGGCTAAAGAACACATGAATGATTAATATCTGATAATAAAACAAGCTCTTCTCCACTTTCAATGTATCCATCGATAAGCTTCCCTTTCCTCTCTGCTGCCCTTCCCTGAGATATTAAGATGCCTTTGTGGTGTCCATCCCACTCACCTCTGGGGCTCCTCAGTGCCCAGGAGATGGTCAATAAACACCCAGTGCAATAAACTGAGAAATCCAGGGCTGTTCTAGTGAAATCATGCATTTTAAAGCAAATTAACAAGAATAAAAGCTTTAGAGAAAGTTCGACAGTGATTACGCCCAGATGAACCAACACTTTTAGTGATCTCCAGTAAAGTGAAACTGTGCTGAGCCCCAAATGAAGGTATCAAGTCCATTAATAAACAAAAGTTTCAAAAACCTTTAGCAGTTGTCTTCTTAAACACCCTGGGTTAGCCTCATGCCATGAATCATACCATGAAAATCTGTGATCAAGGTCTTAAATCAATGAAACACACAAAAATGGAAAAGGAACTTGGGAGACTCAATTGAAATATCCTAAATACAAGTTCTATCAGAGCAGGAGCCAGGTCTGTTTTGTCCACCACTGTATCCCCAGCACTTATATCACAGTGCCTAGCACACAGTGCAAGCTCCTTAAAGTTTTTTCGAATCAATGAATGACCCATTTAGAGATGTGTATGTACCTAATATACATTAGGCTGACTTTCAGAACTCAGAGTACACTTGCAGTCTTTGAAAGGTGCACAGACCCATTAAATCCTATTCAACTTTTAATTTGCAGCTCCAAAATTCACACGCTCAGTTTCTAAGGACACCATCTCTACCTGCCCTCGGCTCCCTCCTCAAACCAGAGAGATTCCCATGTAATACCTTCCCAAACTCTTGCTTTCCTTCACAGCGCTTTTAACAGTTGTAATTCTATAATTATTTAATAATAATTCTGCAATTATTTAATTCATCTGTCCCCAATGAGCTGCTGGAGCCATTAAAGCTGGGACCATGTCTGATTCTGCAAACAACTAAAGCTCCAACAGATAGTGGGCATTCAGTAATTTCTTCTTGAAAAACTGTTATTGTTAGGTAATTGCTTAAGGTCTACGGAACACAGTCATAGCTGCATTCGCCCCCAAAAGAGACTGTGTGACTCTCAAGTCCAGCTTTAAGTCAGAATCCCAGTTTTACCACCTGCAGATAATTGTGGGCAAGTCATTCAATCACCGGGCTTCAGTTTCCCACTCTGTAAAAGGGGCATACCACCCATCTACCTAATAAGAGTTCTTGTAAAGATAGTTAAAGATAACGCATACAAACTGCTTCATACAGTGCTGGGACACAGGAAGTGTACTAATTTTCGTTAGTTATTACTATGGATGCAGAGTGCTTAAATACATATTCTTCGAAAGAGGAATGATTTAATCAAACACAAACCGTCAGCATCTCTGGGATGCTGTCGCTGCCTTCGCAAAGCCTAGAGGAAAGTAACTTACAAAACTTGACTCTAACCCAAGGTAGAGAGGGCGACGTGCCAGGTAAAAAGGGTGACCGTGGGAAGGCACCAGGAAGGATGGGCCGGGAAGGACTTCCCAGAGATGACATCCGGCCTATTTAGGATGGGTGGAATGAGAGGAATCTCAACCACCTCTCAGCTTCTTCCTAAGACAAAGATCCTCGCCACCGCCTTTCCCGGGGCCCAGGCGCGGGGCTAGAAGGAAGGCTGCGAAGCCGCGGGACTCACCGGCGGCGCTGAAGCCGAAGCCGGCGGGGACGGGCGAGTGTTCCGCAAGCTCCAGTCGGATGACAACCAGTGACACACTCATAGGGCAGGCGCTGGCCGGCGCGGGCCCCGGCGGGCTCAGACGAGGCTAGGAGGCGAGCCGAGAGGCCAAAAGGCCCAGGGTCGGCAGCGCTGCCACCGCCTCAGCGCCGGGGCCGCCGCTTGGGTCGCGAGCAGCCGAGCCACAACAACCTCCACTTCCGCCTCCCGGCTGCCGTCGTCGACCCGTGAGGTTACGCATGCGCGGACCAGCGCGAGCGCCAATTGGACGGGGAGGTGGCCACGTGACTGGCGTGCCAGCGCGGAGGTGAGTTTGCGCCCTCGGAGAGATCTTGAAGAGTTTGGAAAGGAGCAACGTTACGAAGACTGAGGGCAGTGGCTGCCGCATTAGGCCAATCGGTGGGTTTGCGCCCAGGCCCCAGTTTACCTACGTGAGAGGCCTTGCCCTCAACCTACTTCAGCCGACGGCGAGGGGGTCCTCGGCTATGTGAGCGGTCCGAGTTGTCTGAGGAACCGTGCCATACGACCTCTTGCCTTTGTTATGTTTGACCCCTCGCTCGAGTTGTTTTGTGTTAGCCACACTTTACAGATAAGTGTGCTACACCTCAGAGAGGTGAATCCGCTTCTCTGAAAGCCCTTGAGAAATAGGGACTCGATTGCAGGGTTTCTGACTATCTACGGCGGTGGCCTGGTTAAGCGCATGGTGCTGGAGCTAGATCTGGGCCCTACTCTCCGCCCCATCGCTTCACAAATGTTTACTTAGAGCCTAAGCACTGGTGGGGTGATGGGATATTTTCGTGAATAAGATAAACACACATAGTTCCTGTTCTTAGGGAGTCGACCTTGATCAGTTGTGTGACCTTGAACTAAGTTGCATAAAACTGGGATCGTATACAGCCGTGAATATTAAATGAATAGAGCCAGTGGCTCTCTATGTATCACTTTTCTTAAGTTCATCTTTCTTTTCCAGTACGTCAGATTACCTTTAGTATATAGACATTAAGAGCCACAATCACTACCTACATGGCACATACATGACAGAATGCTATTCCAAGCATATGCTGTAAGGATATCTAAGATGTGTCACAGCACGTCCTAGGGACATGAACAATATATGCCTATAACATGACCACGTGATTTATGTCTGTTAGCTTGTCACTGCACCCTGTGAAATAATGTTTCAATATACGGTGTATATCAGGGTTTCTCAATCTTTGCACTATTAACATTTTGAGTCCTGATAATTTTTTGTGGGGTGTGTGTCCTATACTTTATAGGATGTTTACCGGCATACTGGTAGCACCTCCCCCCCCCCCCCACGTTGTGACAACCAAAAATGTACCCAGACTTTGCCAACTGTTCCCTTAGGACCAAAGTCACCCTGTTGAGAATTGCGTGAAAATGCATATATGTATTCACATAGTATATGCATATAACATATAAGATCTCATGTGGACTTTTTATAATGTATTACAGTAGTAGATAATAGTGTGCCAGGTAGTAACTTGAGTGCTTTACGTACTTTATCTCATGCAGTAGTAACAACAACTGTATGAGACCACTGTATAATTATCCCCATTTACAGAGGAGGAACCTGAGTCCCAGAAACTGGCTCAGGCTCTCACACTTAATAACTGGCGGAGCTAGAATTCATACCCAGGCAATCTGATTCTTAAGCCAACACTCAGCCTCTTTACTAAACCATCTTAATATGTGGCAACACATGCTGTGTGTGCATATTTATAAAAGCATAAATTAAGAGCAAATCTACATGATCATACTAATCTCATTATTCTGAAAGTCACAAAGAAGACAAATATTCTCTGTGTTACAGAAAAAGATGCCAGTTCCAGAGAACTAGAATTGTTAGCTAGCAATGGGCAAGTCGGGCTTATAACAGTTCTTTGTGGCTATAAACCATGAAACCTGTCCCCTGCTTTCCCCTATTCTCTGATTCATCCACTTTATTCTTTCTTCCAGCTCATTTATGCTGAGCACCTGTTATGTGTCTAGATGCTGTCCTAAGCCCCAGGGGATGGATATACACAAAGATGGAATATATGCAAAGATGAAAAGGCAAGATAGGCCTTGCTTTGAGGAGCTTACAGTTACAGGAGCAGATAGGTGTGCAATTAGTTGCTGTGTAATGGGGCAAATGCTTTAGTGAGGGTATGGAGGAGAAGCAATAGTAGTTGGAAAAAAAAAAGAAAGAAAGAAAGAAAAAGTAGTGCCAGAGCATGCCCGGGAAAAGAAAAAAGTCTGGCTGGCTCAGTCGGTAGAATGTGAGATTCTTGAGTTCAAGCTCCACTTTGAATGTGGAGTCTACTTAAAAAAGAAAAATTTTTAAAAAGAAAAGCCTCTGCAGAGGAGAGAAAGGTAAAACTGAGGCTGTGATGTAAAAATAAGTAGAAGTTTACCAGCAGATGAAGCAGGGAAAGATGTTACAGTCAGTGGACAGGTACCACAGCCTGGAGGGATCAGACATCAGTGCTTTGCTGCTCTGAAGAGAGTGTTGGGAAGTGGCTAGAACAGAACCATCATCTCTAGTTGGAAGGAACAAGCAAGCTGGTCATGGGAGCATTGCCCACTCATCCATTAGTATCCTCAGTTAAGATGAAAGTCAGCCCTTTGGGCCCCAGAGACACTTTTCATCTCTGTTAAGCCCCGACACAAAATGTTTTGGTGCTTTTAGTAGCCTATAAATAAACTCCTTCCATCATAAACTTTGGCCTTGGCATATGAACAGAAGTAAAACTGACAATGCAAATCAATCTTTAAGTTTTTCATTTCAAAACTGCCTTCCTCCCCAATTCAGCAAACTTCCAGTTACAGGAAAAACACATTGTATCATCTTGAAGATTTATTGCTTAAGAATCCTTCCTCTCTTTACAGTCTTACATAGCTTATTGAATCCTTATGGAGGCACTGAAGTGACTCCCATAAATTTACAGGCTGTCTTACCAAACTTTTGTTCAAACCTGATTTGTAGTAAGCTTTTAACTCTAGAAGAAGCATACAAACAAAAAGTGTAAAGATTTTCATGAGGAACTGACTGCAAATAGAATTTGCTTTAGTTAGTTTTTACCCCCAGCTTTTTATTTCAGACATACAGAAAAGTTGAAAGAATATTACAGCATGTCTAGATGATCCACTTTTCATCATCTGCCCTTCACCTAAATAGACTAATAACATTTTGCCATATTTGGTTTATTTCTATACCCATATATGTGTAAGTCTATATACATATGCGTGTATTATGTGTATATGGTTTTTCCCCCTGAACTTCGTGACAGCACATTTAGAAAAGAAGCAAATGGGGTCTCCCAGATGGCTCAGTAGGTTGAGCATCCGACCTAAGCTCATATCATGATATTATGGGTTCGTGCCCCACATCGGGCTTACTGCTGTCAGCACAGAGCCTGCTTCAGATTTTTTGTCCCTCTCTCTCTGCCCCGCCCCACTTGCACTGTCTCAAAAATAAATAAAACATTTTTTAAAAGAGGCAAGTGGAGAACAGTCAGGAGCCTGTTGCAGCGATGTGTAGGAGGTCAGTTCCAGGTATCCTGGTACTGACTTCTCATCTGTCGTTTCTGATAGCCAGAGGAGGTTTCATGAAGAGTGTGATAGGGAAACCAGAGCCGAAAGGACAATTTGGAATTAGCCAGGTAACAGGTGGAAAGGAGAAGTCTAGGGCAAGGAAACAGCATAGGCCAAGTGTGGTAGCTGGAGGAGAATGTCATGGGTCTGAGGAAGCTGCATGTGGATCTGCGTGTCCACAACATCTGGATTAAGGTGAAAAGAGAGAGTGGCTGCCCACAGTTGGGGGCAGATTTTAGAGGGCCTCTTGAGGAAGGTTAAGGAACTGAAAGTTTATCTTGAGGGCAGTGCGGTATGTGTGTATGTACTTATTTATTTTACATTTATTTATTTTTTGAGAGAGAGAGAGACAGAACATGAGTGGGGAAGGAGCAGAGAGGGAGACACAGAATCTGAAGCAGGCTCCAGACTCTGAGCTGTCAGCACAGAGCCTGATGCAAGGCTCGAACTCACAGACTGTGAGATCATGACCTGAGCCAAAGTTGGACACTCAACTGACTGAGCCACCCAGGCGCCCCACTGCCACTGAAAATTTTAAGTGGCATTAGGATGTGGCCACGTTTGCAGTTTTGAAAGAGCACTCTTACTCTGGTTGAAGAGTGAAGAATGAGAAGGGGGTTTGAGAAGATGCAGGGGGACCCGTTAGGCTGCTGCAGTAATCTGTGGGCAAGATCATCAGTGGGTAGTAAGTGGAGAGAGGTAGACAGCGACTTTCAGGAGGAAGACTTGACAGCACAGAGCACCTGGTTTCAGCTCAGGTGGGGGGCCGAGAGAAGTCAGGGGTGAATCCCAGTTTTCTAGCTTGAGAAGGTAGCTGAATGGTGGAGCCCTTTACTGAGCTAAGGAACTTAGAAAAAGGAGGAGTCGGGGAGGGTTCAGTTCTGGTTGTGGTTTAAAGTGTTAGCTGGAGATCAGTGGAGATGTCCAGATGGCACCCTGAGCTCCCGGATGGTGGTCTCTAGTGGGGGCAATGAAGGCAAGCTGTGCCATGTGTCTTCTCCTGCAGTCTTGGCCTCAACATGTATGTAAGATGGCTTTTCCAGTCCTCACGACTCCAGCAGCCTTGGAGGGCAGCCTTCCTGAAACACATCCGGTGCAGGCACCAGGGAGCCAGGTGCTGGACACATTCCGGAGGCGGCCCCTACAGAGCGGTGATTTTTGATATGGGTGGAGTTCTCATTCCTTCTCCAGGGAGAGTGGCTGCAGGTGAGCTTTCATTCTGGGTGACTTTTGGAGACTAGGCTGGGGGTAGGGAATGAAGTGAGGTAAGGGGAGACAGAGGAAGATTTGGGCAGTAGGAGATACTCTGGCTCTTGAATCAAACTCCAAGCATCACTTTGTGGCTGAGTACCTTGAGCAAAGTATTCAACTTCCCTGAGTCTTCATTTTCTTATCATTAAATTAAGGCTAATAGGGGTGCGTGGGTGGTTCAGTCGGTTGAATCTGACTCTTGGTTTTGGCTCATGATCTCACGGTTCGTGAAATTGTGCCCCACACTGGGCGCTCTCTCTCAAAATAAATAAAATTTAAATTAAGGCTGATGACAGTACTTACCTCTTTGGGATTTGGGGAGAGTTAAGTAAAATAATTACAGAAGACACTTGTTTAGCACAGTGAGGTCTCAACTTAAAGTCCCACTACATGATGAGCTGCCATTGTTATTGTTGTTATTGGTGTTGGTAGAATTTAACTACCTTTCTCAGAACTGTGCTGCTTCCCTGAGAAACCTGCTTTGTGTCCTTCAAGACCAAACCTCTAATCTCTGATCCTTTATCAGCCCCACCTGGTTTACTTTTTTCCTTACTCAGTTCAACTGACTTGAGTTGGATTAATTTGGGCCTCAAGTGTTAGGAAACTTAACAGTGACTGAAACAAGATCAAAGTTTCTTTCTCTGGCACATGAAAGCTCAGGTGTGTGATGGGGGCTAGTATGTTGTTTAGTGATGTCAGGCACTCGGGTTGTTTCTATTGTATTGCTCTGCTGCGAGTCCTCTTCATTTCTAGTTTCACCTCCTGATCTATTTGGGCTGCATTACCTCCTGCCATCGCATTCGCATTCCAGCAGGCAGGAAGAAAAAAAGGCCAAAGAGCTGACCTGCTATGGTAGCTGGTTGGGCGGTTCTCCATGCTAAACCAACGCAAGTACAGGTTTTATATGTCCCTGGGTAAAAAAATTACTATTCACCTTGAACATGAAACCGTTATTTAACCAGCAAAAATGAGTTTGTTCGGGAATAGCAGAGAATTGCAATTTGGGGCACGCAAGCTTTGACCAAAACCATAGATAGGTTAGTCCAACAAACAAAAGAGAGGAACATTTTATGGAGAAAAAAGGAAGTTGGGAGGGCTTGTTTTGAACAAAAGTCCATTGGAGAAAGTCAGGAGTTCCCTGTGATGATGGTTTCTCATCATCCGAGCTGGTGGGGTAGTCGGTTCAGCATACACATCTTTTCCAGTTGGGGCCAGTAATTCACCGTCCTTTCCCATTGGAGAGTCCTCTCTTGGTGTCTGTAACTGATGGAGTTGGAAGGGCATGCGAGCTCCCCCTTCTGGCGTCCTGACTTCATTTTATTTTTTTTTTTATTTTTATTTATTTTTAATTTTTTTTAAATGTTTTATTTATTTCTAGGAGAGAGAAACAGCGTGAGCAGGGGAGGCTCAGAGAGAGAGGGAGTCACAGACTGAAACAGGCTCCAGGCTCTGAGCTGGCAGTCAGCACAGAGCCCGACGCAGGGCTCGAACCCACGAACCGCGAGATCATGACCTAAGCGAAAGTCGGAAAGTCGGATGCTTAACCGACTAAGCCACCCAGGCGCCCCGTCCTGACTTCATTTTAGTGAGGTTTTCCTTTTCACATTACCCAGCTAAGCAAACTGACTTGGTGAGCAATTTTTTAGCTCCTGCTGCAGCTGGGCCCTTAGCTTCCCTATTCGTCTGCTCATATTCCTCTGGCATTTGCCACAGGGCCATTCCAACCTCCCCAGCAGCCCCCTACTCTCCCATCCAAGCCTTCATACTTGGCAGACAGCTGAATCTCCTCTTTTACAGAAAACAAAGATCACTGGACAGGATTCTTCTCATTCTGGAGACCCGGAATATCTTGAGAACCTATTTGCTTTCCTCCACTCCCTCTGCTTCGGCCCAGGTTCGGGCCTATCTTCTCCTATCTGCACCATCACATGAGCCTCCCAATTTCTCTTCTCTCTGCCTCTGGCCCTCTGGGTTTTGCACCACCTTCCATGCAGCACCCAGAATTACATTTCTGAGATACAGATCCCATCCCTTCACTCCCTTGCTTCAAATCCTCGAGTGCCTATGCTTTGTCCCTTAGATTAAGCCCAGAAGCTTTCACTTGGCTTCCAAGGCCTCTTGCAAATTAGCTCTCCTGTCCATGTGCCATAGCTTTTCCCACATGTTAGCTGCTGTGGACTACTTGATGTTCTTTAAATCTGCCAAACATGTTTACACTCCTGTCTTTGCAAGTTCTCTCCCCTCTGCTGGCAGCTACCCTTCCCTGCCTCCTCTACCTGTTCACATCCTACTTGTACTTTTGATGGTGAGCTAAAGAGTATATTACTTGGCACAGTGCCTGGAGTGATTTGCACACTTAGTGAATCTTGTGGTGGTTATTAATATGATTTTAAGACTTCTCAGACCACCTGGGTGGCTCAGTTGGTTAAGCGTCTGACTTAGGTTTGGGTCATGATTTCGTAGTTTGTGGGTTCGAGCCCTACACTGTCAGTGCAGAGCCTACTTGGGATTCTCTATGTCTCCTTCTCTCTGCCTGTACCCCATGCAAGCGCACATGCTCTTGCTCTCTCTCTCTCTGCCTCTCAAAAAAAAATAAAAAAACAAACAAAAAGAAAAAGAAACAACTTCTTTTCTGTGAAAACCTCTATGACCTCCTCCCTGGGTAGAATGTCCCTGGCTAGAATGTTCCCAGGTCGGTTCAACCTTTACCAAGGTGTGTTTTAGGTAGGAAACTTTTTCTATAAAGGGCTAACTAAGTAGGCTTTGCAAGGCACACAATCTGTCACAATTGTTCAGTTCTCCTGTTGCAGCAAGAAAACAGAGATAGACAGTAGTACATAAATATAAAAGCAGATAGGAGACATATTTGGTTCCCAGGCCCTATTTTGCATATCCTTGGTCTAGTTTTTACACTCGACTGGTATTCCATTATATGGATGCACCACAGTTGATGTAATAAGCCATTTACTAACATGCATATAAATTTCTAGTTCTTTTTTTTAAAATTTTTTAAAAATGTTTTATTTATTTCTGAGAGAGAGAGAGAGAGTGAGTGTGAGCAGGGGAGGGTCAGAGAGAGAGGGAGACACAGAATCTGAAACAGGCTCTAGGCTCTGAGCTGGCTGGCAGCACAGAGCCTGAAATTTCTGGTTCTTTTTATCGTGAGCAATTCTGCACAAACAGCCTTGTACATAATTTTTGCTGACTTTTATAAATATATCTGTGGGAGAAATTCCTAGAAGTAGAATTACTACATCAAATGCATATTTAAAATTTTGCTCTCCATACCAGTTGTACTTCTTTCCACTCCCATCAACAGTCTAGGAGAGTGCCAGTTTCCTGACACGCTTGCCAATTCTGAGACCATAAAAAATGTTACACACTTTAGTTCTCAAATTAAACAAGTAGGATTATTTGGATTGAGCTTTAAATCTTGCTATTCTCGAAGAATATGTATCAAATTAGTAACATTGATTATTTCTGAAAGAGATTGCTTGTCATTTTACTTTCTTTTTTATACTTTCTATATTGTCAAATGTTTTCAATGCACAGGCCCTACCTCAGTCAAAACAAAAAAAGTGCAAAGTATATTATTGTTAGAACTACTTATGATTGCTACATATATATTTGCCCCACAGCAGCTATATTTTAGAAAGAAAAAACAACCTTGTACAAGAAGACACAGCACCTGCCCAAAGGCTCCCCGTATACACAGATGCTGATCCATTCACTGCCTGAGTTTTTTGTGGATCGGAATCTTCTTTAGAGGCGCCTTGGTGGCTCAATTGGTTGACTGTCCAACTCTTGATTTTGGCTCAGGTATTGATCTCACCGTTCATGTGTTTGAGCCCTGTATCGGGCTCTGCGCTGACACCATAAAGGAAATTTTCTTCTTTATTTCGCAAAGACAACACCCCCAAGTGAATGTTTCTGTGTACCAACTCCACTGCCACGAAGGATGGTTGCAGTTTACAAACTGAAGGGCCTGTTTTGGAGCTGTCAGAACCCGGCTTATTAGGCATGTATTTCCTTGCCACGTGCCAGGACTGTATGAGCGACCGAGGCACATGAGGCAGCTAATGAGACCAAGGAAGACAATGCATAATGCAGCGTCCAGTCATGTGAAGCAGGTGGTAAGGACCCGACGCTTAGCAGCGGTGTCCGCTCTGTATCATTGTTGCCTTGGGGGTCTGAGGCTGAGATTTTGCATTTCCCCAATTTCTCCTAATTCCCGTGAGAATCCACCTAGATCACAGCAGTGTCACAGGGACTGGTAGTAATTCCCCTGAGCTTCCCAAACCCCAGCCATCTCTCGATGTATTTCACTTACTGCATATTTTACTTCCTATAGAATGGGAACTACAAAATGATATCCCTCCTGGAACCATACTGAAGGCCTTTATCTCAGGTGGTGAAAATGGACCCTGGATGAAATTTATGAGGGGAGAGATAACAGCAGAAGATTTCTTACAACAATTTGAGAGACTTTGCTCTGAAATCGTGAGTGAAAAACGTACTTGAATTTACATGTTCTTTCTGCTTAGAGTTTGGATGCAGTACTCACCCATTAAGTTGGTTAAACTGCAAATAAGTGAAAACCTAATAATCCATTTTAATTAAAAATAATTTTTTTAATTTATTCATTTGAAAGAGATAGAGATCAACCGGGGGAGGGGCAGAGAAGAAGAGGGCCTGAGGATCCAAAGCAGGCTCTTAGCTGACAGCAGAGAGCCCAGTGTGGAGCTTGAACTCAGGAGCCATGAGATCACGATCTGAACCAAAATCGGACGCTTAACCAACTGAGCCACCCAGGCGCCCCTCCATTTTTAAGTTTTTAATGCATTCCTTCCATCCCCAGGTACTGAACTTTAACTACATATATGTCAAAGTATGCGCCTCCCCCACTCATGCTCTCTTTTCAAAAATAAACATTAAAAAATTTTTTAAATGATACATAATGCTGCTCTACTGCACACTTAAAAAAGTGGTTAAAATGGGCTATGGGGCGCCTGGGTGGCTCAGTCGGTTAAGTATCCGACTTCGGCTCAGGTCATGATCTCATGGTTCGTGGCTTCGAGCCCCACATTGGGCTCTGTGCTGACAACACAGAGCCTGGAGCCTGTTTCGGATTCTGTGTCTCCCTCTCTCTCTGACCCTCCCCTGTTCATGCTGTCTCTCTCTCTCAGAAATAAATAAAAAATACAAAAACAGAAACAAAAACTTTGAAAAAAAATGAAAAATGGGTCAGAAACTGAAGTTCACAATACAAAACCATTACATGTCTTCTGGACCATTAAGAATTAAATTATAGGGGTGTTTGGGTGGCTCAGTCGATTAAGCATCTCACTCTTGATTTCAGCTCAGATCATGATCTCACGGTTCGTGAGTTCAAGCCCTTCATCAGGCTCTGTGCTGACAATGCAGAGCCTACTTGGGATTCTCTCTCTCCTCCTCCTGTGCATGTGCGCGCTCTCTGTTACTTAAAAAACAAAAAGAACTAAATGATATCTGCTTAATATATTTTTAGTTTAAGTTATCCTCCTTGGATATTCTGATACTTTTTAAAATTGCCAGTCCATGGGGCACCTGGGGGGCTCAGTCAGTTAAGCATCTGACTCTGGATCTCAACTAAGGTTATGATCTCACAGTTTGTGGGTTTGAACCTCACATCGGTCACTGCACTGACAGTTGAGAGCCTGGAAGCCTGCTTCACATTCTGTGTCTCTCTCCCTCCCCCACACTTGTGCATGCTCACTCTCTCACTCTCTCTCTGTCTCTCTCAAAAATAAATACATAAATATTTAAAAATAAATAATAAATAAAATGGCCAATCCATGAGTGAATTCATTTAACTGGACTCTTTTTTTTTTTTTTTTTAAATTTTTTTTAATGTTTTATTTATTTCTAGGAGAGAGAGAGAGACAGCGCGAGCAGGGGAGGGTCAGAGAGAGAGGGAGTCACAGATTGAAACAGGCTCCAGGCTCTGAGCAAGCAGTCAGCACAGAGCCCGAAGCGGGGCTCAAACCCACGAACCGCAAGATCATGACCTAAGCGAAAGTCGGACGCTTAACCGACTAAGCCACCCAGGCGCCCCTAACTGGACTCTTGATATAAAAAGCTCCATTCCCTCACCACTGTTACTTGAAATTACTTTTTACAGCCTTGTAAAAAAGTTCTACACAGGGGCTGAGGGACAATTCCTTTAGGTAGCAAATCAAAAGAGGTAGCAGTAGGAAGCCAGGTACACGTGTTTTTCTCTGTTGGTGATAAGCTGTTCCTCCTACTCTTAATAATTGTTGCTTCTCCTCTCCCCTCCCTCGTTTTTAGTCAAAGACCTCCGTGCCTGTGGGCTCCTTTTTCTCTCTGCTGACCAGTGAGCAAGTGGCGAAGCAGTTCCCAGTGATGACTGAGGCCATAACTCAGATTCGAGCAAAAGGCCTTCAGACTGCAGTCTTGAGCAACAATTTTTATCTTCCCAATGGGAAAAGCTTTTTGCCGCTGGACCGGAAACAGTTTGATGTGGTAAGCTTGAAGTGATCCAAAACAATCAAAACAGAGTCTGTGTCCTTGCTTTAGGATGATGCATCATTAATGCTGCCTCGTAGCAGGTCTTGAGTGAATGGGTTTCCTTAGTCAGTCTAACTTGACTAAATTAGGTTTAGACCTAACAGGATGAAAAGAGGAGTTCTAAAACATCACTGAGCTCTCAGCAAGGTCTAGTGATCATGGGGTTTGATAACGGGTTGAGACCTCAGCTTTAGAGACTCTTTCACATTCTGGGTTTGAAACTTATTCGTCACATAACACACAGACTTCTGTCAGCCCTCACATCTAAAGGGCCCTTTGATCTTATCTCTTCAAGGACCAACTATGCTGGGGCGCCTGGGTGGCTCAGTCAGTAGAGTGTGCAACTCCTGATCCAGAGATCATGAGTTCAAGTCTCACATTGGCTGTAGAGATTAGTTAGATAAATAAATAAATATTAAAGCGGTGCTGGGTGGCTCTGTCGGTTAAGCGTCCAACTTTGGCTCAGGTTGTGATCTCGTGGTCCGTGGGTTTGAGTCCCGTGTCGGGCTCTGTGCTCACAGCTCAGAGCCTGGATCCTCCTTTGGATTCTGTGTCTCCCTCTGTCTCTGCCCCTCCCCTGCTCACACTCTGCCTCTGTCTCTCAAAAATAAATAAGCATTAAAAAAACTTAAAAAAAATTTTAAAAAGGGAAAAAAAAGACCAGTGATGTTGTCCTTTTTCTGTGGCATTAATCCTGAGACCAGGGCTATCCAATAAAACTTACTGCAGTAATGGAAATGTCCAATATGGTTGTTTCTAGTCACATATGGCTATTAAGCCCTTGCAATGTGGCTGGTGTCACTAACAATTGAGTTTTATTTCATTTTTATTAGTTTAAATGTAAATAATCACATATGGCTGGTGATTAAATGTAAATAATCACACATATTAGTTAAAATGTAAATATCACATATTAGTTTAAATGTAAATAATCACACATATTTACAGTTAGTTTAAATGTAAATAATCACATTTAAATGTAAATAGTCACATTCCATATTGGATAGCCCAAACTACCTTAAGAAAATAGTGAGTAGGAGATGGTCTTCTGTGCCAGGAGGTTACCCCTGTAAAGGATTCCCCATTTCCCCAAGAGAAAATAGGTTATCATCCTGGGACAGCTGTGAATTATTTACAGATGACTTGCTTAAACTTCAGTTGGAAAATAGATTCTTACCCAGCAGTTACTGTGTGCTGACCACGGACTAGTGTGAAGGGACGCTGCGTCAGAGGTGACAGACACAATCCTTGCCCCTCCAGAGTATGCACTTGCTACATTTTAAGTGCTCACTCACCACATGCGGCTACTGGCTACTATACTGCACAGCATATAGGGTTATTTCCATCATTCTGGAAAAGTTCTATCGGATAGTGCTATTTTAGAACATAAAATCTAGTAGAATTGACAGGCAGAAATTCAGAGGGCAAATGTTGGAAATTAACCTCTCAGCACAGTGCTGTTTTCACCTTCCACATCCTCCTCCTTTCTTATAGAAGGCCTATCAGACACTGAGTCCTCTCCCCTGTGTACACCTTGCCTGGCTCTCCACCTGCTTTGATTGTTGGTTTCCCTGCGGGACACAAACAGCGCTCTTCCAAGCTCCCTCCCCTCTGAGTTCCAAGCTCTGGGACCTCAGCCAGATTCAGTCCTGTCTCCGCAGCTTGCTAGCCAGGTTACTATGGGTGGTAGCTTTGCTTCCTTGAACCTCAGTTTCTTTATCTGTAATTCAGGAATAGCAATTTCTTTGTTGTAGGGTAGCTGTGTGCATCCCACAGAATAATGCACGCAAAGCTCTCTGCACAGCCCTGGCACGTGGTAAGTATTCAATACATTTTGGTTATTTTCAGAGATTTCTTCCATCCAGTACAGCTACAGGAATGATATCTTCATCTAGACAATTTAAATTGTCCAGGCTCACGTTGAGCTCTGCAAATGAAGCTACAATTTAAAAGACCTATGAACTTCTTTAAAAAAAAATGGACTTGTTTGTTCAGACTTCACAGGCTTTCTGGCATGTGCTTTCCAGGAGTTTTTCTGATGGGTTTTTGTACTTTAGGTCTGCAGAAGACCTGGAGTTTTAAAAACATTTCCTCAAGGGCAAGGGTTTAGAGTTTTGTTCTCTAAAGTACATACACACACACATATATAGATGTTTTGATAGAATAAAGATAGTGTAAGCAATCCTGTGATCTCTGTCAAGATCAGAGGCTGAACTCTTCAAACGGTATTACAGGAATCTGTCTCAGCTTAAAAATTTTTTTCCATCTTAATTTTTTTCAATTAAGAAAATTTTTACATTGTTTTTTTTTATTGTAAAAACCCACACAACACAAAATTTACCGTCGTAACCATGTTTAAGTATTCAGTTCAGTAGCATTAAGTATATTCACATTGTGAATATCACATGAACTAGATCTCCAGGACTTTTTCAGCTTGCAAAATGGAACAGAAGGAGAAGGCCAGGGATCTTATCAAACTTAAATCTGGAGAATTTTTTCACTTCCCCAACATAGTGACTCTCAACATAGTCCCTCAGGAGGTGCCTGCCTGTGAGAAGCAGGCTCACTGGCCTCACCGCCCCGTCTCAGCCAGCACCGCTCTGCTGTTCTCCAGCAGCACGAACTCTGGTCTGTGTCTGAAACGCCCAGCTTCTCTGGTGCCCACCACTGACATTTTCTTTACAGGGAGCTTGTCTTTTTTAGCTCACTCAGGTCCTTAAGAGACAGGGAAGAGTAAGTAGAATGGTCCAATTTATTTAGGACATTTATTTTCCTGAAAGGGCAGTTCTTACCCAACCCTTAGTAATGCAAGTGTAGAGTAGAGGAGGGGCCCCCAGGTTTGTCCTTGGTCTTGGAGAGATGAGTCCCCCCTCCTGGAGTGAGCAGGGATTGAGTGCTCAGGACAGACCAGAGGGTATCAGATATAAGCCTCTGTGGCTGTTTTTAGGCCCACTTTATAGGAGATTAAGCCCTGGGGACAGTGTAAGAGGACTTGCAGGTTGATGGATCAGAGGGAGTGGGGCACTGGCTCAGGTTTCACAGGGTTTCGTCTGGACCCTCTGCAGCACCACCACCCTCGCCACCCCCCATTTCCAGACCAGATACACGGTGGAAGTGAGGTTGTCAGGACACAGGAAGCTCTTTGCGTGAAAGAACAGTCTCTTTGGGGTCTTTCCTCCCATGGGATTTATTTAAGTTGAGGGTGGCTGTTTTGTTTTTTAATTTCTGAAATACAGATGTTAAGATCCTATGTCTTTTGTAGTAGTAAACAGTCCCTTCTTTCTTTTTTTTGTTAAAAATTTTTTTAAACTTTTTTTTTAATGTTTTTTTTTTATTTCTGAGAGAGAGACAGCGTGAGCAGGGGAGGGTCAGAGAGGGAGACACAGAATCCGAAGCAGGCTCCAGGCTCTGAGCTAGCTGTCAGCACAGAGCCCGACGTGGGGCTTGAACCCACGAACTGTGAGATCATTCCCTGAGCCAAAGTGGGAGGCTTAACTGACTGAGCCACCCAGGCGCCCCTAACGTTTGTTTATTGTTGAGAGAGGGAGAGAGAGAGGGAGACAGAGGATCCAAAGTAGGCTCTGTACCAACAGCAGAGAGCCCAATGCAGGGCTCAAACACAAACCGACCATGAGATCATGACCTGGGCCGAAGTTGGTCACTCAACTGACTGAGCCACCCAAGCACCCCTCCCTTCTTTCTGAAAAAATGAAGTACTTTTCCTAAAGCTGAAATGTACAGCTCTTCTGTGTAGCCACAGTATCTAACATTAGCAAATGCTAACATCATTTTGGAACTGATTCAACTTTCATTTAAAGTTCTCGGCAACCACTAAGATAGGTAAGATAGCTATTAGCATCCCCACTTTGCCGATGATGAATGACACTGAGGCCCATCGTGGCTTTGCTTTGTGCGCAAGGTCGCTGTGTCTGAACCAGAACTTTGGTTTTCTGAGCTTGCCCCCAGGTAGTAACCCAGTATTTCCATATCCAACTTTAAAAAGCAACATCATTTTATATCATAACACTCTTAAGCTACTTGTTATAATACATCTCAACGGTCTTTCATTATTCTTTTAAAGAAAATATGCCAGTATGCATGTGGGAGCACTACCTTTTAGGGACACTCATCTCTCATTCCTGTCCTTCACTCAGGTGGTGGAGTCCTGCCTAGAAGGTGTCTGTAAGCCAGACCCCAGGATATACAGTCTATGCTTGGAGCGGCTCGGCCTGCAGCCTTCTGAGTCCATCTTTCTTGATGATCTTGGACCGAATATAAAAGCAGCTGCCAGCCTTGGCATTCACACCATACTGGTAACTGTCACTAGTTTTTGAACCCCTGCTGTGCGCCAGGCACTGGCGTAAACATTTCTTTCTTCTTCTTTGTTTTTTAATATTTATTTATTTTTGAAAGCAAGAGAGAGAGGGGAGAGAAGCAAGTGGGGAAGGGGCTGAGAGAGGAGACAACACAGAATTGAAGCAGGCTCCAGGCTCTGAGCTGTCAGCACCAAGCCCAATGTGGGACTCGAACTCACCGACTGTGAGATTATGACCTGAGCCTAAGTCGGACGCTTAACCAACTGAGCCACCCAGGCGCCCCTAGTGTAAGCATCTCTAAGCTTGTCCTGTTAACAGTCATCGTTGTGTTTACTGGTTTTCCCTCATGCTACTATAGTCTTCTTTTTTATTAATTTTAGGAAATCTACATGACAAGCCACTCATATTTTCGAAGGGAAATAAGACAAACAGTTACTAAGAAGGCGGTTTGAGAAAAGAATTCCCTGAGGAGGTGAATGGCAGGCCTAAGACATTTGGGATGGCAGCTAGGCTGTCCCTGTGACACTGTTCTGGGTAGGGAGCCAGCAGCTACAGCCACACGGACCACCCAGGTCAGGGCTGTGAAGCACAAGAAGCCGCGTGGGAGGAGGTCTCTGTACAGCTTCCTGTGTTTGGGCTTCCATTGTGAAGCTGATGGGCCATAGGGACAGGGTTGATGCTGTTGCACAATATCCCTCCAGGAGGGCACGAAGGAGCATCGTGGAGTCTTACCTAGCACCCTTCCTGGCCAATAAGAAAGTTTAATGTGGTTAAGAATTAAGTGGGAAGAGCAAAATCATTGTACAGCTTCCTTATTAGCTGAATATTCTGGCCTCCAAAGTCCTTGCTCGGAGACCTGACTTCTTGGATATTTTCCTCTAAAAAATTACCCTTTTAGAGAACAGACAGGAGGCCAGGTCAGGGTTGACTGGTGGCGTATGTTCAATCTTCTCTTCGAAACCAGGTTCACGACCCAGAAACTGCAGTAAAGGAATTAGAAACCCATTTGGGTTTTACGCTGAGAATGGTTGTTCCAAACACTTGCCCTGTGAGAAAGACAATGGACATTCCACGAGATTCCCTGGAGAAGTACCTCAAAGACTTACTGGGGACCCAAAGCACAGGTATTTAAATTTCTGTATTTTGCCAACTCTCTCAAGGCTAGCCCTTCAGTCTGGTTCTCACTTTCACACCCTAGTGGAATACGCTGGAGACAGAAGCCGTGTGGTAAGGAAAATAGCCATGGGGCTCAGTGGATCTGAGTGCAGCTTTCAGTCTTGCTTGGGGAAAAGCATGAACCCCAAAAGTACACTCACCCTGTCTTCCAACTGAGAGTGTGGTGTGGCAGGGATCGCCTGGGGTCTGGAGACTGTGGTATGTGCCCAGGGGCATTTGAGCATGTCTAAATGTTTTGAGATGACAGCCTGTTTTATGGAGGTGACTTAAGAAGCTACATGAATTTACAATGTGACAGATTGTCTCCATCTCTTCAAAGGCCCCTCTTTCATTCTTTATATTCCTCTCTCAGAAAATAGGTGCCTCAGGGGCTTTGGAAGACATTTCCACATGGTGATAAAGCTTTGCCTCACCCATTTAAATCCTCAAGAAGACTTTTTGCGTGGAGCGTCACTTATGTTTTCCAGAGATTGGATTGTTCTTAGGGCCGCTGCAAAGTTGAGGGGCCCCTTCTGAGCAGGCCAGCACCAGCAAACTCAGGCAAACTCCTGTTTCCTGCTCTTCTGACCATGTGAAACAAATCTGTGTCCAGAGTTCAGTCTTGTTATGAAGCTGAGGGCTAATTGGGATGTTCCGGGGCGGGAGCCACAGAGTTGAGCCCACTGGGGTGGGAGAGAGCGTCTCATGGAAGGAAGCACTTGGGCTCAAGCTGCGGACCTCACCGGAAGCTCCTCCCAGCCGTCACGCCAGTGTCAGGCATGGTTTGGCCGAGTGTGGGCTGAGGGACGCACAAGGGCGCTTTTCATCCTCAGGCTTAAAGCATTCCATTTTAGCATGGTGGGTTGCCATGACCGTGCTTGTGGCTGATAAACAGAACTGAAAAGCTTTTCTTCGTGGAGCGGGAGTTGGCAAGAGGGACAAAACTAGACACCTGCACAAAGTGAAAATGAGTGGCCTTTGCCACACTGTAGTGGTACTCGTTAGAGAGCAGGAAGGCCCAGCTCTGGCCTTCCAAACTGCTGTCATTTTCTTTGTTTTCAAACTTGCAGGCCCATTGGAACTCCTTCAGTTTGGTCATGGGCAGTCAAAGCCAACCTACTACGTCAGGCTAGCTAACCAGCAGCTGGTTCTGAGGAAGAACCCCCTGGGGACCCTCCTTCCATCCACCCATGCAGTGGAGAAGGAGTTCAGGTAACTTAGAGCTGGGGCGTGCTCAGCCCCCAGCCTCCGCAGCTCCGCCCTGAGCTGACAAGTCAGCACTTAAGGCACTTAAAACTGCAAGTATGAATTTCCAAGATTATCGCAAATAAGAACATGTAACCTAATTGTATTCACAAGTTTGTTTTCTCTTTTCTATACCTAAACCTGTAGAAAACTAGACTTTTTTGGAACCTCTGGCGAAAAAAGCATTATTGAAATACTCATTAGTCTTACTCTTTAGTCATAAAGACTAAGACCTTTAGTCCTATAAACAGTATATTAGTGGGGCTTAGGCCAAAACAAGCATGGCATTGAGTTGACAGTTGTTGAAACTGGCAGTGGCTACGTGGGGGTTTGTTTTATGAATCTCTCTACTCATAGATGTTTGAAATTTTCCATAATAAAATGTGTAAAATAATAATGGGTTACATTACACCCCATCCCAAATAAAATAGTTTCTTATGCAAATAGGAAAATTTAAACATGGCAGGTTGGAAGAAAACCTACCTCCAAATTCTTTGAGACTGAGATGAAAATTCTGGATGGGCTCCAGAGTGGCACCTACTCTCCTTTCTCTTCCTGTGCTTCTTTCTTCCTTCCAGCACATGATGCTCTGTAGAAGGAATGTTGCAGAGTAGTACGGAAAATGTGATTTGGGCTCTTGGTTCCTTCTTGTTCTCACTGTTTACTGTCTCTCCTTTGGACTTTTTAGTTCCTAGAAACTAACTTCTCCAAGTGTTGCAGGCCAGGGTGACTGATAATTATGAAGCCTTAGGGGGTCATCAGAGGAGAAAACCTATAGCTTTTTCTGAGCGTTTGTATATATGCCCATGTAGTAGCAGGTTTGTAGTTATAGGAGAGAAACGCTAAAAGTGTGAAACCCCCGCCCTGTTCTTTAAAAAAAAATTTTTTTTTAATGTTTTATTTATTTCTGAGAGAGAGATAGTGACAGCGTGAGCAGGGGAGGATCAGAGAGAGAGTGAGACACAGAATCTGAAGCAGGCTCCAGGCTCTGAGCTAGCTATCAGCACAGAGCCTGACGCGGGGCTCGAACCCACGAACTGTGAGATCATGACCTGAGCCAAAGTCGAATGCTTAACCGACTGAGCCACCCAGGTGCCCCACCTGCCCTGTTCTCATGCATCCTGCTTGTGAACTCTCTCTCACCATTCCCAGAGGTACTGAGGAGTTCCGGAATGCTGTGGTGACATTCAAAAAATCCAGTAATGTAGAGCTTTCCATTTTAGCAAAGGAATAAAATGTGCATTTGAAGATGAAATATAGTGTCTGCTTATAAAATGCCAAATGTAGGGGCATCTGGGTGGGCCAGTTGATTAAGTATCTGCAGGTCATGATCTCACGGTTCATGAGTTTGAGCCCTGTGTCGGGCTCTGTGCTGACAGCTTCAGACTCTCATTCTCTCTCTCTCTCTGCCTCTGCCCCTTCCTCGTTCATGTTCTGTCTCTCTCAAAAATTCATAAACATTAAAATGCCAAATGTAAATTTGAACAATTTTGGGAATTTTGGAAAACAACATGATACAATTTATTAAAAACCTTATAGTCACACTTTGAGATCTAATAATTCCATTTAGAGGAATGTATCTTTAAAAAATAATTCTAAATAGGGAAAACAGTTTTACGCATTAATATGGTCATCACAATATTGTTTATAATAAAAAATTGGAAACACCCAAAAGGTACAATAATCAGATGATTAAACTTTGGTATATCTACTTGTTGCCGTAACAACAGTAATAGTAATAGCTGACATTTACTGAGTGCTTAGTATGTGCTAGGCAATGTAATAAATATTTTAGATGTATTGTTAACCCAAAGCATTCTCACAATTCATGATATATTACTGTTATGATCCCCAGTTCATAGAAGAGGGAACCTTAAAGAGGTTAAGCAATATCCCCAGAGACACACAACTAGCTGTGAGTGATGGAGTTGGGCATTATACCTGGGAAGCAGTAGGATTCCACAGCCCAGCCTTAATGATTGTGCTATTATTGTAGCCAGTAATAGGCCTAACACAGAGGTGCCATGATAAAATTTTAACGTGATAACAACAGATAGAGACCACATATAGTGCTATCCTATGTTTTGTTTTGTTTTTTAAAGATTTTATTTTTAAGTAATCTTGACACCCAATATGGGGCTCGAATCCACAACGCCAAGATCAAGAATCACACATTGCACCCACTGAGCCAGCCAGGCACCCCCTAACGATGATGTTGTTGTTGTTGTTGTTGTTTTAAAAGACTTCTGCACTGAAACAAAAATATGAGAAAGGAACACAGGAAATTATTTACCATGGTCATGTTGGGCTAGCATGTTTCCGTTCTTCAGTTGTAAGTGATAGAAACCCACCTAGACTGACTTAAGTGTTCTTTTTTAAAAAAGGAAGAGGAGTAAAATTTATTGAGCTCATAATTTAAATCTTTCTGGCATGACCAGATCCTAGGGACAAGGCAATGTCACCAGGACCCATTCATTGTCTCTGTCCCTCCATCTCTCCACTCTTCTTCCCTCCATAATCTCAGTGAATACTCCAGCATACCTCCTGAGATTGACCTATTGGCCCAATAAGTTGTCTGGGGTCAGAGGAGATGCATTATTTAGATTGGCCGAATCTGGGTCTTGTACCCATCCTTGGAGCCAGGGTTTGTGTCAGTCCTGCCCAAACCATGTGGAGTGATGGTGGGGGAGAGCTGTTCCCCAAAGGAAAGCCCAGGAATATTATCTGAACATGAAGCAAGGAAAGGACACCAGGCAGGCAAAAAGCAGGAACCAGTGATTGGCAATAAGACTGAGTTATTATTTTTCTATTTAAAACATGAAAAAATTTCTTCCTTAAGTGTTTGATGAAGTTTACCAGTAAACCCATCAGGGCCTGGAGTTTTTAGGAAAAGGTTTTTTGATTATAAATTCAATTTATAAATATTAGGTTCCTCAGATATTTTATTTCGTCCTGTTTTAGTTCTGGGAAGTCATAATCTGCAAGAAATTTGTCCATTTTGTCTAATCTATCAAATTTATTGTTCATTATATTCTTTTTTTAATTTTATTTTTTAATGTTTTATTTATTTTTGAGACAGAGAGAGACAGAGCATGAGCAGGGGAGGGACCGAGAGAAAGGGAGACACAGAATCTGAAACAGGCTCCAGGCTCTGAGCTGTCAGCACAACTGACATACCATGTGGGGGCGCCTGGGTGGCTCAGTCAGTTAAGCTTCCGACTTCAGCTCAGGTCATGATCTCGCAGTTCGTGGGTTCAAGCCCCATGTTGGGCTCTGTGCTGACAGCCAGCTCAGAGCCTGGAGGCTGTTTCAGATTCTGTGTCTCCCTCTGTCTCTGACCCTCCTCTGCTCACACTGTCTCTCTCTCTCTCTCAGAAATAAATATAACATTAAAAAATTTTTTTAAAAACCTTTCATTTTCTATTTCATTTATTTCTGTTCTATCTTTATTCTTTTCCATCTACTAACTCTGGGCTTATTTCTTCCTTCATAGTGTAACTGATTTAAAGTCTTCTTACAAGTATTTAAAGTTAAATATTACTTTCTAAGCACTTCTTTATCCCACAAATTTTGACATGTTGTATTTTTTTTATTGTTATTACAGTTTAAAATATTTTCTAATTTCCCTTGTAATATCTTCTTTGACCCATGGCTTATATGAAAGTGTGTTCTTTAATTTGCAAATATTTGAGCCCTTTTTTAAAAAGTTTATTTAGGGGCACCTGGGTGGCTTAGTCGGTTAAGCGTCCAACTTTCGCTTAGGTCATGATTTCGCAGTTCGTGGGTTCGAGCCCCGCGTCGGGCTCTGTGCTGACTGCCAGCTCGGAGCCTGGAGCCTGTTTCAGAGTCTGTGACTCCCTCTCTCTCTGACCCTCCCCTGTTCACGCTGTCTCTCTCTCTCCTAGAAATAAAAAAAAAAAAAAAGAAAAAACTAGAAAAAAAAATAAAAAGTTTTATTTATTTAAGTAATCTACATCTCATGTGGGGCTCAAACTACAACCCTAAGATCAATAGCCACATACTCTTCTGACCAAGCTGGCCAGGTACCCCTCAAATATATGAGCTTTAACTAGATGTCATAAATTAATGATTTTTAGTTTAATACCACTGAGATCTTAGAAATACTATGTACAATTTCCATATTTAGAAATTTATCAGCACTAATTGTATGAACCAGCATATGATTTATCTTGGTGAACATACTGTGTGCACTTCAAAAGAATGCATATCCTGCACTTGTTGTGTGTTGGGGGAATGTCCATCAGGTCAAGCTGGTTGGTAATATCACTCAGATCTTTGTCTTACTGTTTTTTGTTCTAGTTTCACTGTTTACTGATAAAGGGATATTATAGTCTCAGCTGTGATTGTGGATTTGTCCATTTCTCTTTGTAATTCTGATCATTTTTCTTTCATTTTTGAAGTCCTGTTATGAGGCATGTACACATTTATGATTGCAGTATCTTCCTGATGAATTAATTATTGTATCACTTGGAAATGTCCCTCTGTTTTTGGTAGTAATCTGTCTTAAAGCATCCTTTCTCTGATATTAATGTGGCTATTTCTTTAAAAAAATTTTTTTTAACATTTATTCATTTTGAAAGAGAGAGAGAGAGTGTGAGTGGGGGAGGGTCAGAGAGAGAGGGAGACACAGAATCTGAAGCAGGCTCCAGGCTCTGAGCTGTCAGCACAGGGCCCTACAAGGGGCTTGAACTCATGGACCATGATATCATGACCTGAGCTTGAAGTCAGATGCTTAACAGACTGAGTACCCAGGCGCCCCTAATGTAGCTATTTCTTATGCTTAATTGATGGCATAGTATTTTCCTTCTCTCCTTTTATTTTTTTTCTACTTATTTTTTCCCCTATGTTTTTATATAAAGAATGTCTCCTGTAGATAGCATGTAGGTAGGTCTTGCTTTTCTGTGCAGTACAACAATCTCTGTCTCAACTGAAATGTTTAGTCTAATTAATATAATTAAGTATAAGTATTGATATGTTTGACTTAAGTCTATAATTTTGCTATTTGGTTTTTGTTTGTCCCATTTGTTTTTTGTTCTTCTTGCCTACTTCAGGGTCAATTGGATATTTTTTAGCATTCTATTTTAATTTTTGGGCTGGGTGGCTGGGTGGCTCAGTTGGTTAGGCATCCGACTTCGGCTCAGGTCATGATCTCATGGTTTGTGGGTTCAAGCCCCACGTCAGGCTCTGTGCTGACAGCCAGCTCAGAGCCTGGAGCCCGTTTCAGATTCTGTGTCTCCCTCTCTCTCTGACCCTCCCCTGCTCACACTATCTCTCTCTCTCAGAAGTGAAGAAAAAAAAGGATTAAAAAATTTAAAATTCTATTTTAATTTTTGTGTACACTAATTTTAATTCAGAAAAATAATTTCAAGAAAATCTCATCAATTCAGCCAGCATTTTCACTCATTTCTCTTTATTCTGGCAGGATAATGAAAGCCCTTGCGAATGCCGGGGTGCCTGTCCCCAAAGTTCTTGACCTCTGTGAAGACTCAAGGTAATGTTGAGATTTATTTATTTTTAAATGTTTATTTATTTATTTGGTGCTGGAGGGGCAGAGAGTGAGGGAGAGAACTGCAAGCAGGCTCTGCACTCAGCGGGGCTCAATCTCACAAACCGTGGATGCTTTAACTCACTGAGGTATCCAGGCACTTCCAGATTTATTGATTTATCTATAATTTTTTTAATGTTTATTTATTTTTGAGAGAGAGAGAGGGAGGGAGAGCACAACCAAGGGAGGGGCAGAGAGAGAGGGAGACACAGAATCCCAAGCAGGCTCCAGGCTCTGAGGTGTCAGCACAGAGCCCGATGCAGGGATGGGACCACGAACCATGAGATCATGACCTGAACTGAAGTCAGACGCTCAACCTACTGAGCCACCCAGGTGCCCTTGGATTTATTTTTTATTACATATTCAAACTATAGAAGAGAAAAGCCCATATAATCACTCAAATCCCAGTTTGTTGGAATGAAGACAAAATTTGGGTGGGAGAGAAAAGAGCAACTCCTCCCGGAAGCTCACAGATCTTTAAGTTATCTCGAAAGAGAAATACCTGCTTTTGTGAAAGTTGGTAGAAAACATATTTTTTTATCATTAAAAAAATTGTATCCATCTAGCTTCATGTTTGTTTTTGTTCATCTTGTATTGTGGTTATTCTAAGCTGTTTTTAAACTGCTTTGCAGTAACCTTTTTGAGTCTTTTTTTGTCCCAATTATTTAATTATGAAAATTTTGAAACATACAGAAAAGTAGAAAGAAGAAAAAGTAGCATAAAGGGCTCTCATCTAGATTAAAACGTTGTTGGGGCGCCTGGGTGGCTTAGTCAGTTAAGCGTCCGACTTTCGCTTAGGTCATGATCTCGAGGTTCGTGGGTTCGGGCCCCACGGCGGGCTCTGTGCTGACTGTCAACTCAGAGCCTGGAGCCTATTTCGGAGTCTGTGTCTCCCTCTCTCTCTGACCCTCCCCTGCTCGCGCTGTCTCTCTCTCTCTCCTAGAAATAAAATAAAAATATTTAAAAAAACAAAAAACAAAAAAAACCGTTGTTAACATTTTCCCATATTTACTTTCTATGTGAATATATGTATATTTACATATCTGTGTACGTGTGTGATATGAATAATTTTATATAATAGAAATTATACAATCTAATAATTTTATACATTTAAACATTTTTAAATCATTATATTTTCTCTCTATGTGTAAATTATTTTTAGCCGAGTCTTTTGAAGTAAATTGCATACACTTCCTAAAAATAAAGACATTTTCTTTCATAATCAAAACAGTGTTATTACACTTAAGATAATTAATAATTTAACAAAAAAATTTAAGTTCTAGCCCATGGTCAAGTCAGGATAAACAGTTTTAATGGTCAAATTTTCAAAACAACTTTTTATTTTTTATTTATTTAAAAAAATTTTTTAATGTTTACTTATTTTCAAGAGAGACAGAGAGAGACATCGTGAACAAGGGAGGGGCAGAGAAAGAGGGAGACACAGAATCCGAAGCAGGCTCCAGCCTCTGAGCTGTCAGCACAGAGCCTAACATGGGGCTCAAACTCATGAACCTCGAGATCATGACCTGAGCCGGAGTTGGATGCTTAAACAACTAAGCCACCCAGGTGCCCCACAAAACAACTTTTTAGAACAGTTCACTGATTTCTAGTAATGTCTAGCCCCCTCTCAATATGCTTTCCTATATTATCGCTCTTAAACTCCATTCCATAGCTTCCCCAAGTGCACCAAATGGAAGAGAAGTATGCTGGAAAGGAAGTGGAGACAGGGCTGTGTGTGTCGACTGGTTTGGGGGTAGGGTACTGCTCACCTTCTGTGTTTATGTACGAAGGAGAAAGGAAGCATCCAATACTCTGGGCCTGAACTCCATCCCCAGTCCTTGGAGCAAACACACAGGACAGTTAGAAAGAGCAGTGCCATGACTAACAGCCTGCCCTGTTATGAGCTGGGCCCCTGAAACACCCTGTCTGTGCCCCTCCCAGGGTCATCGGTGCTCCGTTCTATCTGATGGAGTACTGCCCAGGCCTCATCTACAGAGACCCCACTCTGCCAGGCTTGGAGCCCACCCAGAGGCGGGCCATTTACGCTGCCATGAACAGAGTCTTGTGCAGAATTCACAGCGTGGACCTCAAGGCTTCAGGCCTGGAAGACTACAGGAAACACGGTGAGTATGAGGCCATTTGTCTTTCGTGCTGATGGTTTCCTCATGGGCGCTCCTGTTTTTAGGATTTGCATGATGTCAGGTTGTTAATGCACCCAGTGTTTGCTAAACGTAAGGTAGGCTTCGAAGCCTCCTACTTGGAAATCCAGTTACATTTTAATGGAGGTGTCACTTGTAGACATACGACGTACTGTCCTTAGATATATCCCTTCATGGACTACACAATCTCTCTTCCCTGCAACTTTATCTTGCTAGACCATTTCAGTCTCTATTTTTTCCGATACCAGTCAGTAGTATCTAAGATACTTTTTTCTGTTTTTGCTCTTTACCCTGAATATTCTTTTCAACAGGGATAGACTTAAAATGCCATTATGCAATGGTATTTTGTTTGCAGAGTTTATTTCCGCTTGTTTTTTTTTTCAATGTTTATTTTTGAGAGAGAGAGAGAAAGTGCAGGGGAGGGGCAGAGAGAGAGGGGGATACAGGATCGGGAGCAGGCTCCACACACAGCACAGAGCCCAATGTGGGGCTCAAACTCAAGAATCATGAGATCATGACCTGAGCTGAGGTCAGTCACTTACCCAACTGAACCACCCAAGTGCCCTCTGCTTGTTTTTTAATGTCTAAGAGCTTGAGTTGCTCCTCATCCTCATTATTATTGTCAGCTTTTTCTCTTCTCTTCTTTTTTTTTTCAAGTCAGGTGTATTGAAGTGTAGCATTGTATGAATTTGACAGATACAATTTTAAAACCACTGTCACAATTGTCTCCACACTTTTGCACGCACAAACTTTAGCACAAGCCAAAGAATTTGACTTTTTCTCCCTGAGAAAGTACAAGAGTATTTGACTCTTGACCAGTATGTATTCTTAGCTATAGTCAAAAAGAATCTCTCAGCTAGGGTGTATTTTCTTCTTTCTCTGCTTTTAACCAAAATGTGCCTCTTTTCTGTAGGACCACATCAAAGGCTATAGTACGCGTCCAGTGTATATCAACTTCCTACGTTTCTGCCCAGTTCCCTAAAGTTCCACCTCTCCCAGGGGTACATGGTCTGAGTCCCCACCACTAACCACTTTGAGACACTTAGCCACAACAGAGCAGGCTTGCTGGCTTCACCTGTACTGAGGGAGCTCTCCATCCCTTCCAAGTACAGCCAGTTCTATATCAGCCCCGCCATATTCTAACCTGTTGACTAGAGACACAAATTCAGTGTGGGTTCCCTTCCACCTTGGTAGTCTCATTTGGAAATAAAAATGTATTGTTTATCTGAAATTCAAATTTAAGTGGGTATCCTGTATTTTAAAAAAATATTTATTCTGAGAGAGCATGCACCTGCATGAATGAAGGAGTAGCAGAGGGGGAGAGAGAGAAAGAGAGAGAGAGAACGAGAAAGAGAAAGAGACAGAATCCCAGGCAAGTTCCATAGTGTCAGTGCAGAATCCCCAGAAGTGGGGCTCAATCCCACAAGAGCCGTGAGATCATGACCTGAGCTGAAAACAAAGGTGGCCGCTTAACTGACTGAGCCCCCCAAGGCACCCTGGGTATCCTGTACTTTATCTGGCAGCCCTAGTCACCAGTAAAAGGGCTAGTGGGCAAAGACAACACATTGCCCATCTTGATCCATTGTTTCAAGATGGAAAGAGCACTGGAGCAGAGGTTGGATGCTAATTTGTCAGGGACCTTGGGCAAGTCACATTACTTTGTCATAGTTTTCTCAATAGTAAAGGTTTGGTAAAAAAAAAAAAAAAAAAAAAATGCTTGTGCTGCCTCCCTCACAGGCTGATGTGAAAAGCAAATGAGGTGGCAGCTGTCCCAGGGCTTTGAATGAAGATAAAACCTTAGGCAAATGAAGTAATGGGCAGTGTAACATCCTGTCCTGGAGAGAGAACAGCTTATGGAAGCCTCTCCCATGTGCTGTCTGAATGGATCCTGTGCCTTTTGTTTTATTTTATTTTATTTTATTTTATTTTATTTTATTTTACTTTATTTCATTTCGTTTATTTCATTTTTAAATATTTATTTTTGAGAGAGTGCAAGCAGGGAAGGGACTGAGAGAGGGGGACAGAGGATATATTAAACTGACTGAGCCACCTAGGTGCCCCCGTGCCTTTAAAAATTTTTTTTGAGAGAGAGAGAGACACAGCGTGAGAAGGGTCAGAGAGAGAGAGGGAGACACAGAATCTGAAGCAGGCTCCAGGCTCTGAGCTGTCAGCAGAGAGCCTGACACGGGGCTCGAACCCACAACCGTTGAGATCATGACCTGAGCTGAAGTCGGCGCCCAACTGACTGAGCCACCTAGGCATCTCCCTGTGCCTTTTAAAGTAAACTGGTTTTTTTTCCCACTGACCTCTTAAAATTAAGAGACAAAGCAGAAATCTGACAGGATTTCATGTGGTCTACGGGCCAGCATCCCAGGCCACTGGCTAGGTTTTGAGCCTGAAAGCATAAAGCAGCTTCATCATGCTTCAGGTTCATGGGTGCAGCTACAGAGGCATTAGAGCTTCCTTTTCAAAAAACCTGCAATTTCTCTGATTACGTCAGGAATCCAGCTGCTTTGCAGGGCATTGGCTATAAATAGATACTAGCATTTGTGTAAAGAGTGGCATATTTAAATAAATTTACATATTCAAATATCCTTAAATATTTGCTGGCGCATGTGAATATCTTCAAAAGAATACCAAAGAAGCTGGTCAGAAGGGTTGCCTTGGGAGAGGAAAAGAGCTGAGTGGCTGGGCAGAGGGGTGGGAGAAAGATTACTGTTTGCCCTTTTGTCACTTTAATTCCAAGCCCTGTGAATGTGTTATCCATTCAAAAGAACACATTTAAATTTGTAAAAAAAAAAGAGAGAGACAGAGAGAGAGAGCACACAAACATGATTTCTAATCAGGAGGGACTTTTGACAAAGATCCTTTAGGTGCAGTCCAGTTACCACAAAGAACCTTTTCACCACCAAGGACCTGCAGGGAGCACATAATCCCCTTTTCTTGGGGGGGGGGGGGGGGGCGGGGACAGTCTGCTTCAGGAAGGATGTCGCAGCGCCTTGGCAGGCCTGAGAGCAGCCAGCGGCCCTTAGGGATGCAGGGCCAGCTGCGTCTGCTTCCCGTGAGAAGGGGACGTATGCAGCCCTGGGTTGGTGTGTGTGAGGTGGTGGGAGGTCCCAAATCCATGTAGGAGGTTTTCCTTTTTTTTTTTTTAATGTTTTATTTATTTCTATGAGAGAGAGAGAGAGACAGCGTGAGCAGGGGAGGGTCAGAGAGAGAGGGAGTCACAGACTGAAACAGGCTCCAGGTTCTGAGCTGGCAGTCAGCACAGAGCCAGACGCAGGGCAAAAACCAACGAACCGCGAGATCATGACCAAAGCAAAAGTCAGAAGCTTAACCGACTAAGCCACCCAGGCGCCCCAGGAGGTTTTCCTGAAGGGCTCCTTTCACAAAGGCTCAGCTCCTGTGAGTTTTGTATCTGACTTCTTAGTATATTTTCAAACTTACAGAAATGTGAAATAGTACAATGAAAAACTACACATGCCCACTACTAATTTTAACAATGGTGAATTTCTGCCATAGTCAGTATTCTCTTTCCTTTTCCCTCTCCCTCTGTTTCTTTGTGTCTCTCTCTCACTATGTATAAATATATTTAACAAAGTTGTAGAGACCCTAACACTTAACTCCTCAATACCTAAGTATGCATTTCCTTAAAAATAAGGACAATCTCCAATACCATTACCACATCCAAGAAAATATACAATTTTCCCAGAATATCTAAAGCCCGATCCATATTCAGATAGACTTCATCAGTTATCCCCTTATATCTTTTATAAATGATTTCCCCCCACCCCCAATCAGGATCTGATCAAGGAATCTAGAACAGTGCCCCCCACTATCACCACCTGTTTTTTTCAATGAATTTTTTGACACCAAGTCAGCGCCTGGGTGGCTCAGTTGGGTAAGCATTCAACTCTTGATTTTGGCTCAGGTCACGATCCCATAGTTGTGAGATCAAGCCTGAAGCTTGCTTAAGATTCTCCCACTCTCTCTCAATCTCTCAAAAAAAAAAAGACCAAGTCAGTTGTCTTATATATTTGTCTTGAGTATCTCCTTATGGTTTGTCTTCTATTTCCTATAGTTCTGAAAACTGTAAGTTCTAAAGGCTTGATTTGTTTTGGATTAAATTCCTGTGGATTTTGATCTCCACCTCTCATGATCCAACTAGATTTTCCAAAGGGCTTATGTCTGGATGCTCCCAACTGTGAGTGGACTGGACAGAAGGAGCTTGACGTGTCTATCCTTATCTTCAAACCCTTCAGCCTCTGAGGACCATTGTTCTTTCAGATGAGGGACGAGGGCTTGGCTTAGAGCCAGGTACCTGACACATTTATTAATTATTAGTTATATTAATAGTGACAATTAACAATTGGCAACTGGCAATAACCGGGACAATAATAATGGCCACCATTCATGGAACAGCCTTCTGTGCAGCTCAGTATCTGGCATGTTCTATATGGATTTCTGTTAGCCTTCACAACAGTCCTGTGGAATTTAGGTGTCAATACACTCATATAGAAGAAGCAGGTGAGGCTCGGAGAAGTTAAATCAGCTGAAGACCTTGACCGTGAGCTGAATTGATTCCAGAACAACTCCCAGTGTCCTGGTCCCAGAATAATTTGCAAGTTCCTCAACTTTGGTATCTTTTGGGTTTCTTAGCAAACACCTGTATAATAATAGCAGATACACATGCAGTACTTACTACATGCCGGGAACATTTCCAGGGGCCTTTACATATCTTATCCTCCCAACAACTCTCTGAGGAGCATCTCACTGATGAGGAAAAACTGAGGCACAGAGAGGTTAAGTCACCTGTCTGAGACCAGAAAGATAGAGAATGGCAGTTGGGAATCACACCCAGGCAGTCCAGCCCCAGACTCCATGCTCTTAGCCACCCACTATTGTTCAGCCAAAAAGAGATTTCTTAAAGGCTGTTAGGAAGCTTGTAGGCTGTCTGAGAGGGCCAGGGATCAGGCTTGCAGGCCAGTGGTGGGAAGAGATCACACTGAAATCCAGCCACCGCGGCAGGAGCATCATGTGAAAAACTCCTAGGTCATCAGATGATAACACAGAGCATCAACAAGGCTTTTACTGTTTTGCTTACCTTCTGGAACCTTTGGAGGATGTCATAGTGGCATGCCGTGTTCTAATTCTCTTTCCCTCAGGGGACTATGTTTCACGTCAGGTGCAGACCTGGATTAAACACTATCGAGCCTCTGAAACCAGCACCATCCCGGCGATGGAGAGGCTCATCCAATGGCTGCCGCTCCATCTTCCCAGGCACCAGAAGACCACCGTGGTGCATGGGGACTTCAGGTAGGCACGGCTCTGAGGGGGGTGAATACCTAGATGTGGAAAATGATGGGCAGGGCCCTTGAAGGGGAAATCAAGCAGCTGGTCTGAGCCCAATTTACAGTTGAGAATTACCTCCTTTACAGAGGATCTCCCTGTGCGTGCCCTTTATGGCATGGTTTCTCCACCTTGGCCTATTGTCATTTGGGGCCAGAAAATTCTTTATGATGGGGGGGCTGTCCTGTGCCACAGTGGGAGTTATTACAGCCCCTAGGTTTCAAAGTGCAAGTGCGCGCTCCAGTTACTACAACTGCATAAAAAACTCCAAAACTGCATGGTTGTAAACAATGATGGCAGTTATTTTGCTCATAAAATCTGCTGTCTGGGGACAGGATAACTTGTTTCAACTGGGGAGGCTGTCAGTCTGGGGCCTGGACTCTCATGAAGGCTCACTCACGTGCCTGGCACTGGGGCAGAGAAGACGGAGCAGCGGGGCTCCCTGGGCCTCTCTCTCTGTGGTCTCCCGCGTGGTCTCTCCAGCACAGCAGCTTCTGGGCAGCCAGACTCCTTACCTGGTGGCTCAGGGCTGCAAACGTGTGTGTTCCAAGAGAAGGCTGACTGGGAGCTGATCACCTTTTCTGGGCTGGGCTCTAGAGTCACTTAGCATCACTTCCACCTGCATTCTATTTGTCAGAAGCCAGTTGCTTCGAGCAGCAAAGAATTAGACTCTTGCTTTTCTGGAAGAAGTGTCAAAGAAGGTACAGACCTGTTTTAAACCCATCACAGGGAAGGAGGAAGTACCAGAACCCAAAGAGAGAGGCTCCCTGACCAGAGCTGTTGCCCTTGGAAGAGGAATACAGTGTCCCTCAGCTAACCGCCTCCTTCCAGTCTCCTGCTGGTGTCCTCATTGGCCGAGCCCACCTGAGCCAGAGGGCAAGGGAAGCCGGTGGATGTGGGCCCTGAGGAGCCAATGGGGAGGGGAGTGCATTTGCAGGGGCAGAGAGAAGACACCCAGCACGGGACACAGCCCCAGCACAGTTTCCTCAGAGCTGTCTTCTCATTCCTTCCGCGGCTTATTCAGGCTGGATAACCTGCTCTTCCATCCAGAAAAGGCCGAGGTGCTTGCCGTCCTTGACTGGGAACTCTCTACCTTAGGCGACCCCCTTGTGGACGTGGCCTTCAGCTGCCTGCCTCACTACCTGCCGTCCAGTTTTCCCGGGTCCCTGCTGCGAGGTAGAAAGCGCTGAGGGAGAGGGAACAGGCAGCTCCATTCTCAAAGCACCTGAGTCACAGAAGTAGCCACAATGGGTGTGTGTGTGTGTGTGTGTGTGTGTGTGTGTGTGCATGAAATTGAGGTCCTGGTGGTTTAGCTGGAAAATGCATTCCTGCCATGGGGGGGTGGGGAAGGGTGGAGTGTATTGTAAGTGAGAAGGATGTGTGCATAGGCCACTCTTATGTTTCTACTCAACTAATTTCTATCTGATTTTCTAAATAAAAAATACAAATTTATTTTAAAATGTTGGTACCAGCAAAAAAACAAAAGGAGAAGTTAAAATCATCAATAGTCCCAGAGATGACCACATTCTCATCTTAAACATATGTTTAAGTGAAAATGTGATTGTATGATTTTATGGCCTGTTTTTTTCTCACTTAATTACATCTTTTTATGCCATTAAGTATTTCTTCTACAGCATCATTTGTAATGACGAAGTAGGATTTTTTTGAATACAATTAATTTAATCAAGACATTTTGACAAACATCTTAAGACAAATATCCAAATATTTAATTTTGTTTCCAATTTTTTTTCTATTACCTCCCCCCAACCCTCACAAAAAAATGCAGTGAACTTCTTTGTGGGAGTATCTTTGCCTATATTATAAGATAAACTCTGGACAAAGTCCTAGGAACAAAACATATCACATGCTTCTAAACCATGAAAATGTTACAAATGAAGAAAATCAGTGAAAATTTTTTACTTGTTGTAATTATTTTTTTCAAAATTTGCCAGGATCTTTCTTTCAATACTGTTTTTCATAAAATGGTGGATGGAAAACTATATGCATCCACCCTGAACCGCAGTCCTGACACGAGTGGAGGCCCCTCATTCCCTCCTCTACTGCCAATTTAGTCTGAAATCTTTAAGGGCCAGTTTGTGAATAGCTTTGTGCGGGGGGTCCCAGCCACGTGGGGACAGAAGAGCTGTTGAAAGAAGGAGCTGACCCTGTGAACTAGTTGTAAAGCTCATTTCCAAGGCAAGAGGTGATTTTCATAATTCAGACACCACAGGAAGAGTGTGTGGTCACTGCCCAGACGTGGCTGTGTCTGTTGCCTCAGGTTTCAGTGACTGTGATTTCGCTCAGCTGGGAATCCCTGCTGCAGAGGAGTATTTCAGGATGTACTGTCTTCACTCGGGGATCCCTCCTGCTGACAACTGGAACTTCTACATGGCCTTCTCTCTTTTCCGCATGGCCGCGATCCTGCAGGGAGTCTACAAGCGCTCACTTACAGGTAAATGGATGGCTCTGGAGAGCCTGCCTGAGGGTCTGAGTCATAGCCACTCAGCTTCTCCCCCTAGAAACCCGCCTGTGACCAATTTGGCCAGAATTCTGCAATATTCAGTTATAATGAATATATATATTCATTAATAGCATATACATATATATGTATTCTTAACTTTTTTTAACATTTATTTATTTTTGAGAGAGAGAGAGAGACAGAGTGCAAGCAGGGGAGGGGCAGAGAGAGCGGGAGACACAGAATCTGAAGCAGGCTCCAGGCTCTGAGCTGTCAGCACAGAGCTGAACACGGCGCTCGAATTCATGGACCACAGTATCATGACCAGAGCTGAAATTGGACGCTTAACCATCTGAGCATCCCTGTACATATTCTTTAAAATATTTAAACTTAAAAAAATTTTTTTTCATGTTTATTTTGAGAGAACAAGCGTGCACAGGTGCAGGGGTAAGCAGCAGCGAGGGGGAGAGAGAAAGAGAGAGGGAGACAGAAAATCCCAAGCAGGCTCCCTGCTGCCAGCACACGAACCATGAGACCATGACCTGAGCTGAAATCAAGAATCAGACGCTTAACCAACTAAGTCACACCCAGGTGCCCCAAACTTTAAAAAATTATTAACAAAACATACAAATAATACAAACCTACAAACCTACATGATAAGAACTCAGTCATAAAGAAGAATACAAAATTGGGGCGCCCAGGTGGCTCGGTTGGTTAAACATCCCACTGTGGCTCAGGTCATGATCTCGTGGTCCATGAGTGTGGGCCTCCTGTGGGGCCCTGTGCTCACAGCTCGGAGCCTGGAGCTGCTTCGGATTGTGTGTCTCCCTCTCTCTGCCCCTCCCCCACTCGCACTCTCTCTCAAAAATAAACAAACATAAAATTAAAAAAATACAAAATTATTTTCCTTTTTTCTCAGTACCATTTCTCAAACGTAAACACCGGCTTTAAGTTTCATGGGTCCCCCAATTTGTTCTGTGTATCTGTCTAGCTTATCAATCTCTCTCTCCAAGTTTTATAAAAATGTGTTCATCTTACATGTATTTTTAGTACCTTGATTTTTAACCTTTTTATGCTTAAGAATTCCTATGAAATATTTGTGTGTGTATATATGTAGGATATGATGTGTGTATATATAGGATATATATGTATATATATATTTTTTATAACAACATAAGGTGCATTCCTTGCTTTTATTTTCACTTAATATTTCATATGAGTATGTACAGATATACATCAGTTTTTTCTTTTTTTAATTTTTTTAATGTTTTATGTATTTCTGAGAGAGAAAGAGAGAAAGACAGCATGGGCAGGGGAAGGTCAGAGAGAGAGGGAGACACAGAATCTGAAACAGGCTCCAGGCTCCGAGCTGGCTGTCAGCACAGAGCCCGATGCTGGGCTCAAACCCACAAACTGCGAGATCATGACCTGAGCTGAAGTCGGATACTTAACTGACTGAGCCACCCAGGTGCCTCATTGTTTTTGATTTCTATAGTACGTTCCATTGTATGGATGTAGTGTAATTTATTTAACCCATTCTCCTATTGATCTGTCTTTGGGTTGTTTGTACATTTTAGCAAACACAGATAGTGGTTGGCGAACACCCTCTTCTGCCCACGTGTGAATAAACCCAAAGGCTAAATTCCCAGAATTAGAATTGCTAAGTTAAAGTATGTGCCTTTTAATTTTTTATACCTGTTGCCAAATCCCAGTGATAGGATTGCTGAAGGAAGAAAAAAGATTATGTGTCTTTGATGGTGCTTTTACATACATGGGAAAATGCTTTATTGAACTAGCTTAGAGTTCTAGATTATATCTTGTTCATCTGAGCTTCTGGGAAGAAAAGTTAATTGTTGCTACTCAGAACTGACAGTTGATTGAATTGAATGTGTATATAAATGTATCACCTATAGAGTGTTTACATATATATATGAGGAGATGTCACAATCTTATGAGTATTAATTCTAGATCTTGCAGGATAGCAAATGAAATCATCCCTATCCTAAATTATTTAAGAAGATAGAAAGGCAGATTACGGTTGGCTTCCTGTGTAGAAAGGAAGACAGCAGAAATAAAGCAGACAGAACCAGCCAAAAAGTCCTAGAAATAGTGGCTAACCCAGTAGCCTTACGTACCCCCAGTTTTCCCCATGTCATCATCTCTAAATTCCATTCCCTCCAGAAGGAACCAGGGCCGTGTTCAGGTCTGGGGCGGGTTATCTACAGATGAGCCCGGAGCACCTTGTCATAGAGGAGGCTGTTGAAGACTACTCGGGTCATAGCCAAAGGACTCAGGAGCAAGTTGCATAGGCTCCCACTTGCTAATGACAGGACACTTTGAGCACCAGTTGGGATGAAGCTAAAATGGATGAGAACACATCAAGTATGTTTAAATCCATGAGTAAAGAGTAACACTAAGCCAGAGTCAGAGTCTCATTGGTGGCCCTGGAGGATGCCAGGGAAGCAGCCCATTATTCTAAAAAATGAAAGGAAAAAGAAATAAAGCATTTATCCTGCCTTTTGCATATAAATTATATGTCAGGCTAACCAAATAACTGAGGGAAAGTCTCTCTCTAGGGAAGTATCCCAGACAGAATGCATATTACCAGTTTTCCACCCTCACATACTAATGGCTCCGGAAAATAAGTATCCATGCTGTTAACATCCGCAGGAGAGAAGCAGCCAGACATTACATACCTCCTGGTGCTTCCCCAGAAGTCAGACCTGCATCTGACCGAGCCGTAGTACTAACTACCAGCTTACAGGAAACAGAGAGTCAGAGGAGCACGTTAGATGTCAGCCCTGAGGCACAGCCACTCGCAGCATCCAGATTTGGGGTCACCCCACAGTTTCTTCAACAAATGAATGTCGGGGGGAAAAGAAAAGATGAAAAAGGAACCTACAGATTGAAAGAGACTTAAAAGACACATCAGCCAATGACAGTGTTTGGATTGTATTTAGATTCCTATTTGAAAAAACAAATTATAAAAAGAAAATTATGTGATAGTCAGTGAAATTTTAATTCTGACTGGATAGTTAGTGATATTGGGGTCATAGTTAACTTAGTTTATTTAAGTTAATTTTAATTTTTTTATTTGAGAGAAGGGAGCATGCATGAGTAGAGGAGAGGGGCAGAGGGAGAGGGAATCTTTTTAAGTATGTTTATTTTTGAGAGAGAGTGCACATGTGCATGTGTGTGTGGGGGGAGATGTGAGGAGGGGGTGGAGAGAGAGAGAGAGAGAGAGAGAGAGAGAGAGAGAGAATCCCAAGCAGACTCCACACTCAGCAAAAGCTTGATGCAGGGCTCAATCCCACGACCCTGGGGTCATGACCTGAGCTTAAACGAGAGTTGGACACCCAACTAACTGAGCCACCTGGCGTTCCAGTTAACTGTTTTTTAAGTGTGATGATGGTTCTGTGTGCTTTTAAGTGTGATTAGACATAAATGAAATATTTGCAGATGGAATGATCTACTGTTTGGAATTTACTTTAGAAAAATCTAAGGCAGTGAAGATGGGGATGACAGAGAATGAAACAAGATGGGCCATACTTTGATGACTGTTGAAGCTGAGTGACAGACACTTCCAGATTCCTTATACTCTTCACTCTATTTTTATATATCTTTGAAATTTCCCCAAATGAAAAATTAAAACAGAAGTCAGGTAGAGAGAAACCCGGCAGTGGGTTTGCTAGTACAACGGGAACGCCTTAGCTTCGAGGTCATCGACATCCTGAGCTTGGAGGCTGCATGTTGCCTTCTGCCAGGTTCTCATAATCTAATGAGAAAGGCAGTTACAGTAGGGAAATTGATCCTTCATTCACAAGGATCTGAACCTCTTCCAAGCCAGGTACCAGGAACTAGCAATACAAAGTCGTGAGCACAACAGTGTCCAGAGAAAAATCAGCACCCACATGATTTCTAGTTTTGCCCACCCTGATCTGATAATAGGGGTCTCACTTAGCAGAAATTCTTGGAAGCCATATTTTTGCTTCCTCCAGACAGCATCAGTTCTAACCACCGTTTCCCAATTTTTGTTAGGGCTTTGCAGTGAAAGCTAACCAGAAATATTTAATCAGGTGACGAACAGGCCCAACTCCCTGTAGACATTTTCTAGACAACTACTGTGTTCTCACTGCATCCTGCTCCAGTGCCTGGGGATAACCTGAGTGGATTCTCAGTGATCTCTTCTGGAATCTCAACACCCTTAAAACCCATTGGTATTGCTGCCAATTGGCCTATCAGGAAGCCATCTGACAGTTTCCAAGATCCTGTGTGCCACAGGCTAGGCTTCATGCTTCTCTTGGCTCGGAGGTGAAACACTCCACACGTTCGCCAGCGCACAGGATCACAGACGTGCTGTCCTTACAGGACTGTGCTCCTCTGGTCCTGCCAGTGCCCCTTCCCCTCCCACCCGGGAAGCCAGACACACAGAAGAAGTGGCATAGTTTTCTCACAGAAAAACAGCAAAATCCGTTTTTTGAAGGAATAGGATAACAATGTTACACAAGGGGAAGCAAGAACACGGCTCTGCGAATGCAAATATTATTTCTGTCTAAAAGCATTTTCCTGTTTGAAGAGGTGAGAAACTTGGTACTGCCCTGGAAGGTGGGGTTTGGAGAAGCAGCATTTGTTTCCAAGGCATTCTCTGTGGAGTTAGCTCATCCCTGGGTGGGAGGGGGAGAACCATGCCCTGAGGCGGGGGGCGGGGTGGGGGGGCGCTGATTTACAGTCTGCAACGTGGGTGGTTTCCGGTAAACGGCTGCTGAAATTCTAGAACGGAAGTGCTTGTGACCATAGCTTAGGAGGCCTCGGTCTCCTCCGCTAGGAAGACATGTGGGAAGATACATAGAAGTAATAATAGCTTTAAGTCAGCCCCAGCCTCTTAGGGTGACTTTCCAAGAGACAGAGAGAGCAGCACTCTGAGAAGGCAATGCAATTCAGGAGAGCACAATGAAGAGAACACTTTGTATTCTCTGTTAGAAAAGGGAGATCGTTATGAAGAATAGTGAGTTCAGGGGGGTGTCTCCCTTCCACATGACACTGCAATCTGAGTGGGAGGGGTGCAGATGGAGCTCCTCATGGGAGAGTGCACATCTGCCCTCACTGCAGTCCCTCACAGTGACTCAGGGAAGGGAGCCGTCTGGTTCCCTGCTGGCCCCCCAGGGCCTGGGTCCATGCCCGGTCCCCGGACGATGCTGAGTAAAGACTTGTCCGGCAGCCTGCCTTCTCTGCTATGTAGCAAATGGATTTGGTTCCTAATCTGTAAGAATGCATAATACCTTTAACACCAAAGCTGCATGAAAATGGCTCTTTTGGGAAGTTGTCCATGGCAGGGACCAGAAGAAAAATAGGCCTCTGCAAAGATCCATTTATTGATACAAAGAGAATGAGCAAAACACAGTCTCTTTAGAATAAGGAAATGCTAAAAATAATCTAGGAGAGCTGGCTGAGAAGAAGCTCACTATAGGGGACAATATACACACTTCATGCAGGGATCTCAGATGCAGGTCACTGAATGCAAGAAGCCACAGTGAAAGAGTACACACCCTATGATGTATATATTTATGTGACATTCTGGGAAAGACCAACTAGAGAAATAGAGATTTAAAAGGGGGTGGGGCGTCTGGGTGGCTCAGTCGATTAAGCATCTGACTCTCGATTTTGGCTCAGGGCATGATTCCAGGGTCGTGAGATTAAGCCCCTTGTCAGCCTCTGCACTGTGAGTGGAGCCAGCTTAACATTTTCTCCCTCTCTCTCTCTTTCTAAAAGAAATAGAGATCACTGTGGCCAGGGGCTGGGGCAAAGGGTTGAGCACAAAGGGACACTGGAGATTTGGGGATGATGGGCATATTTTGTATCTTGTTGGCAGTGCTGGTTACTGACTAAACTCCCAGAACTTTACACTTTTATAAAGAAGGTGTGTATATACTATAGCTCAATTAAAAACTTTTTACATTAAAAAATCCTTTTTAAAAAAGTCTTAATGCACATATTAAAAAGAAAAAAAAAATGAAAGCAGTGAGAGCATAAGTGGAGTGAGTTCAGCAGGGCTGACCCTGGCGTTCATCTGTACAGAGTGGTGTCCAGAGACTGGCCGTTAACCCCGTCCCCGGGGACATTTGTTACCAGTTTTGTGGTCAGTCTAGGATAACGCAGGGCTTTTGATAGCCCCCCCACCCCCCAGCGACAGCACAAGTGATTGCGGGTGTTCCTGGCTTCATTTTGTGTCTTTAGGGAAAGAAGAGGTAAAGAACAGGGAGCAGTCCAAACGAGCCTGACTCCTAGCTCCGAGCCCACTGCTGTCAGCTTGGGGACGCCTCTTAAGACCCAGATCCTTGTCTGTGAAGTGGAGATTAAAAGCATCCTAATGCTTCGGGAATTCAATGAACTATAATAATCCACACAGAGCACTTAGCACCGTGTCTGGTGTGTGGCATGTACTCAGCAAATGGCAGTAGCTCTGATAGCATTATTATTAAGGGTTGTTTGGCAGTAATCACTGTTTTTCTTTGCTTCTGCTTAGGGCAAGCAAGCTTTGTGGCCACCGAACCAAATGGAAAACTGACTGAATTTATGTCTAATCTGGCCTGGGATTTTGCCATCAAAGAAGGGTTCCGGGTTTTCAAAGAGATGCCAGCCACAAAATCGTCAACAAGGTCCTGTCATACTCAGGCTGGTCACAGTCCCTGCCGAGCACCCCAGGCATGAGCAGTTATATCCCCTTTCCAGAATCTTCCCCAGCTCATGTGTCAAAGGGGCTCTGGTTATCTCTCCGGAGGGCCTTTCCCCACCGGTCAGGGAGCTGCATCAGTGACTGAAGCAGTGACATGTGTACCCTGCCAAGTCAGAGCTAGGGAGTCACCAAGCCTCAGCAGAGGGATGGACTGCTTCCCTACTGATGGGAGTATCTTGACGGAAAGCAGCGTACTGAATTGGTAAGATGTCATTAACATGGCTGAACCTCAGCCCAGTGACCAGACACATCTGCTCCCCGCCCAAGCAGCGAAGAGACAAGAGCGCTGAAAGGAATTATCTTTGCTTTTCATCATCATCAGGAAGAGCTGGCTCTAGATTACTGAGTTTTCACTTCATCGCTTTTTCTGTGTGACCATGTCATGGCCCGAAGCCTCAGCCCAAGCAGAGGAATACCAACTCTGTGGTTCATGCCCCAGGACACGTGGGCCTATTTTATGCATATTTGAATTATGTAAATTTGAAACACTGATATAAAATACATCAGTTAATAAAGTCTCATTTAAAAAATTTTTTTTTACTGTTTTATTTATTTCTGAGAGAGAGAGGCAGAGTGAGCAGGGGAGGGGCAGAGAGAGAGGGAGACACAGAATCTGAAACAGGCTCCAGGCTCTGAGCTGGCTGTCAGCACAGAGCCTGATGTGGGGCTCGAACCTACAAACTGTGAGATCATGACCCAAGCCGAAGTCGGACGCTTAACCGACTGAGGCACCCAGATACCCCTAAAGTCTCTTATTTTTAAAAGTTTATTTATTTTCAAAGAGAGAGAGAGAGAAAGCTTGCAGATACAGGGGAGGGCAAAGAGGGAGAGAGAATCCCAAGAGTCTCCACACTATTAGCACAGAGCCCAACATGGATCTCGATCCCATGAATCGTGACATGAGCTGAAACCAAGAGTCAGATGCTCTCCTGACTGAGTCACCCAGGTGTCCCAATAAAGTCTCTTTAAAGAACCCATAATGTCAAAAGTAAAGGGCTAAAGTATAAACTGTGTTTCAGCTGCTGACAGTACTTTAACTGATAATGGAAATAAATACCTGCTTGTTCTTTGTCAGGATGAGTCTTGGCTTGTGTTAGTTTTTAAGTTATTTGAGGTCTTCAGGACCACACGTTTTGCCTATAATGCAACCATCATCTTTTTTTTTAAATTTGTTTTTAATGTTTGTATTTTTTTTTTAAATGTTTTATTTATTTCTAGGAGAGAGAGACAGCGTGAGCAGGGGAGGGTCAGAGAGAGAGGGAGTCACAGACTCTGAAATAGGCTCCAGGCTCTGNACATTACAAAAGGATGTAGAAAATTATTTCTCCAAACGTGATTTCCTGATGGCCTCTTTCAAACACTTAGGAAGGCTTTGCCATAATCAGGTTGTTTTTTTTTTTTAAATATTTTTATTTTATTTCTAGGAGCGAGAGAGAGAGAGAGAGAGAGAGACAGCGTGAGCAGGGGAGGGTCAGAGAGAGAGGGAGTCACAGACTCTGAAATAGGCTCCAGGCTCTGAGCTGGCAGTCAGCACAAAGCCCGACGTGGGGCTCGAACCCACGAACCGCGAGATCATGACCTAAGCGAAAGTCGGACGCTTAACCGGCTAAGCCACCCAGGCGCCCCTAATGTTTGTATATTTTTGAGTGATAGAGTGTGAGTGGGGGAGGGACAGAGAGGGGGGGACACAGAATCTGAAGCAGGCTCTAGGCTTTGAGCTGTCAGCAGAGTCCAATGAGGGACTCAAACCCACGAACCATGAGATCATGACCTGAGCCTAAGTCGGATGCTTAACTGAATGAGCCACCCAGGTATCCCAACCATCATCTACTTTTTAAGAAAATGGCATTCCCACTTTTTGTTTTTCTGGTTACAAACCTATTGCAAAATAACCAAAGCTCAAACAAGAGTAAAAAGAGTTCATGACAGAAAGAGCTCTCTAAAATTCGCTGCCCTCTGAGATCATCACTGTCAACAGCTCAGTGTATTGGGCTCCCAGCTGCTTTTCTCATACTAACATATTATTCCTGTGTTGTAATGGGATTGTTGTATATACATTCGAATCTCCCACTTGCTTATTTAACGACATATCAGCACCTGGAGATGGACCTTGTAGGGTTTCTGCGGTGTGGGCGTACGTAATTTGTCTCCCCTCCCCCTGGCTGGGGGACGCCGTGTGTGGCTCAATAGGCTAAGTCACTGCATCACTTAAGCAGCGAAGGACATTAGCTGGCTGCTGACATGGAGAGGGAGGCTGAAGACCCAGCTTTAGAAGCCGAGGGAAGGCAGGCTGCAGGGAGTGTGGCCAAGGCTGTCACAAAGGCAGCCAGTTGGCTGGGAGATCTCAGGAAGCCTCCTCAGGACTCTGACTCCGACTATGAGATGGGAATTTTCAGCTGGCTGGGGGTGGGGAATAGGTCCCTTGGCCTCGCCTTCATTGCCTGGAAGCAGGGAGAAGGAGGGCATGTCTGGCTCCCTTCACTTTTTGCAGTAGGAGCCTCTGCCTTGATCCCACTAAAATGTATATAGTGAGGAGCCCCACGAGAATAAGAAGGGGGTTGAATCCTGTGCAAGCAGTATACACTGATGCTCTTACACACTGCTGTGTCCACTTACTGTTTCTGCAACAGGATAAATTCTTTGAAGTAAAAACTCTGGCCCAAGAATGAGACCATTTAGTGTTTTAATAAATATTGCCAAGTTTTTTTTTTTTCCAGATTTAAAAATTGTTAAGTAATCTCTACATCCAATGTGGGGCTCAAACTCACAACCCTGAGATCAAGAGTCACATGCTCCACTGACTGAGCCAGGCAGGTGTCCCAAATATTGCCAACTTCTGATCAAGAAGGTGCGTACTGCTCTAAGCTCCCGTCATTAACCTGCGCATTCCCTCCCCTGCCAATGGTGGCCACCACATTTCAGGCTCTCGCATGTGACATCAGTCCCTCACAGGAAGCAATGGAAAAGGAAACGCACATGCAGCAAACACCTCTGGACTCTAAAAGGAATGCTGAGGAAAAACCGAGATTAGGGATCATTTTACTTCCAGTTACACCTGAATGGGAACATCATGGTAAGTGAGATTTGTGGGCAAAGCAGTGAAACTGTAGCTCATGGCTTTGATCTCAAGTGTCGTTACTCCCATAAATGGGAAGACATATTTGGCCATTTATGGGGGTATTTCACAAATCCTGTGAGGTAATAAGCATTGTTAACCTCGATTTACAAGTAAGGAAAGGGATGTGTCCAGGAACACAGCTAGAAATAACAGCGCCTGGATTCATGTCCAGATCTGCTGGGCTCAAATCCTGTGGGTCCCACACACAAACACACGGACATGACCCATTTCCTTATTCTGCCTCTTCAGGACTCTCCTGTTTCTTCTCCTGCCCCTTCATGCTTCCTTTGTTCCAATAAATCTGCCCCTTTTCTCCTTTGATCATTGTGCTCTGAGCTAATCAGCTTAATCCAATGAGACGAGTGCGTGTACGGATTCTGGAAGCATGTCATGAGACCAGGCCCAGTGTCAATGCAAAAGTCAGGCCAGCTGGTGTCCTCCCAGTGCAAAGCGGTGCTGATTATATTCATAATCACTGACATTTAGTGCAGCCTGTCTGCTTCTGTGTCAGACACTTCGTATTCCACAGGTCATCTCAGTTCATCTTTTTTATTTTTTTTTAAGTTTTATTTAGAGCAGGGGCAGACAGGAGAGAGAGAGAGAGAGAGAAAGAGAGAGAGTCACTGTCAGCACAGAGCTCGATGCAGGGCTCAAACCCACAAACTGTGAGATCATGACCTGAGCCGAAATCAAGAGTCAGACGCTTAACTGACTCAGTCACCCAGGCGCCCCTCTTCTCATTTAATCTTTACGGCAACCCACGTGAGTGGACATTGTGGACACGGATTGGGTTTGGGCTGCCTAGGGTTCATTCTTCTTTCTCGGTACAGCACCCTAGTTTCATCTGGAGGCATTCCTTCCCCTCTTTCGGATACAGTGGCAGATCTGCCAGTTCAGCCCTCCTTGGGCAAGAAGCGGGCACATGAGCCAAGCTAGGCCAGCCAGGCTCTCTGGAGTTGGGAGACTGCACAGTATTTTCAGGAAGAAAAGTTGGCACTCGCTCATTCCATAGCAGTGGGGCCTTGCCGGGACTGCTGAGTGTCCTGTCCTATGTGACCCTCTGGGTACCCGGGTTCCTGTTGATTTCTGAACCTCATTCTCTAATCTGAGCTCCTGATAACCTTTCCATTCAGTTCCTTTTGTCCCCCTTTAGTTAGCCACGATCGGTTTCTATTGCTACAACTCAGTAGTCCTGACTGATAGGTGGGGAGTCCTGTCCCATTTCACAGATGAAGAAACCGATCCCGTGGCTTGCCCGGCCAGGTGTGGCAGGGCTGACTCTGAGCCAGGTAGTCTGATGGGAGGCCAGGGTTCCTGACCCCCGGGCCAGACTTCCTAGTTACTTGGCCAGGAGTTATGGTGAGAAACCTGGGGTTACCTGTCCAAGGAACAAAGCCGCTCCTCATAAAGGAGGAAGCTAGTTCAGGGGCTCTGCTCAGGCACCACATCACAGCAGCCACCTGTACTGGGCTTCTGTGAGTCTTCGGCCCCCATGCTTCCTTCTCTGTTGTCTTTCAACAAAGGAGGTCCATGGCGAGGCTTCGGGAAGAACTTTCACGAGGATGTCAGAGGGCGACCTGACTTGGAGGGCACCCTTGCTCACACATCCGGGTATTTGAAGTTTTGAATATGGACATGGGAGTCACTGTTATGCCTTCTTTCCTTGTCAGATCCTTAATTGTTCTGCTCCAGATACAGGGAACACAAAGCATCTGGTGCAATACGCCCCCAGGAGCAAACCCACCGGCTGATGCTGTCACCAGAGGCAAAGGCCGGCTCCTGTTTTGCTATGACCCGGCCCCTGGCACCTGCTTGGAGCACCACCCACTGGAGCTCCTCCTCATCAGGCCACACCCTTGTGGGGCCCCTCTGGGCACAGGGAGCCCTGGAAGGGAGGGTGGGGGTGGAGGGGGTGGGGAGGGGAACTTGCCAGCTCTAGGCAGGCGTGCGCTCGGGGTGCCTCATCAGTTCTCTTCCATCCAAGGGGGGCTTCTGTGTCACAGATGGTCACAAGGGGTGGATCCCAGGCATTTGGCCCGAAATTCATTTTTCAGTGACCCTTCCATGGGTCTGTATTGATAAGTGGGTCTCTCTTCCCTACTGTTGCCTGGGAAACAGGATGCAAAGTAGATTCTGTCTCTGTGCTCCCAGCAGAGGCAGCAACCCAGAGGTCATACGTGGGTCACCAGACGGATCACACAAGTGATGCTCTAGGAATCTCTCATTCACTTGCCGGCCCCCCCCCCCCCCCCCTTTGGTGGGCCCTGGGCAACTACGTTGGAAAGGCAGAAGGTCACTTCCTCAGTGGCTCCCCCTGCTGTGCATCAGCTGCTATATCACATGGGCCGGTGATAATCCTGCTCTTCATCATTCAGGAACTCTGCAGGGCCCTCTTT